GTTATATAATATAACTACATGGGTATTGTTAGAACCTGGTATATGACTACATGGGTATCAATGGATCCTGGTATATGACTACATGGGTATTAATGGATCCTGGTATATGACTACATTGGTATTGTTAGAACCTAGTATATCACTATATGGGCGTTGTTAGAACCTGGTATATGACTACATGGGTATTAATGGATCCTGGTATATGACTACATGGGTATTAATGGATCCTGGTATATGACTACATGGGTATTGTGAGAACCTAGTATATCACTATATGGGCGTTGTTAGAAACTGGTATATGACTACATGAGTATTGTTAGAACCTAGTATATCACTACATGGGCGTTGTTAGAACCTGGTATAAGACTACATGGGTATTGTTAGAACCTGGTATATGACTAAATGGGTATTGTTAGAACCTGGTATATGACTACATGGTATTGTTAGAACCTGGTATATGACTACATGGGTATTGTTAGAGCCTGGTATATGACTACATGAGTATTGTTAGAACATGGTATATCACTACATTGGTATTGTTAGAACCTGGTATATGACTACATGGGCGTTGTTAGAACCTGGTATATCACTACATGGGTATTGTTAGAACCTGGTATATGACTACATGGGCGTTGTTAGAACCTGGTATATCACTACATGGGTATTGTTAGAGCCAGGTATATGACCACATGGGTATTGTAAGAACATGGTATATGACTACATGGTATTGTTAGAACATGGTATATGACTACATGGTATTGTTAGAACATGGTATATGACTACATGGGTATTTTTAGAACCTGGTATATGACTACATGGGTATTGTTAAAACCTGGTATATCACTACATGGGTATTGGTAAACCCTGGAATATCATTACATGGTATTGTTAGAACATGGTATATCACTACATGGGTATTTTTATAACCTGGTATATCACTACATGGGTATTGTTAAAACCTTGTATATCACTACATGGGTATTGGTAAACCCTGGAATATCACTACATGGTCACTGTCAGTTCCTGATTTGTCATAGCAAAGATGTTGTTCGAACCATTGGTCGAACCTGATGCGTTACTTCATGGGAAAATAACGTCTGCCACCTCCGGGTCGCACACATGAGGTGTGCTTCTCATGCTATCTGATGTCAGTCAGTAATAATGGCTGACGCCCTTACTCGTCGAAATGATATATGGCTGAGTGAGTTTTTGAGTTTGAAGAGTAATTCAGTCATATGAGGAGGTTAAATTTCTGTTTAATGAAGGAAAGACATCCTAATTGGGGAGGTGATAAGCACAGTTTTTGTTTTCGAAAGATATCGATACTTTAAGATAGCAGATGTCATCATCATATCACTGGTCTGAACATTACCATAACATATTCCTATTTTAGGATTCATTTCTTCTGCCGTGTCGTCAATTTGACCACACAAAGTATTATCCAGCTGTTGTAGACAGGGCATGTTATCCAATTCACACAAAATCACGATTACAATTATAGGATGAGAAAATTGAACAGATATTGAAAACGACGCCAGGAAGGGAATTTTAAACCATCAGCTAGCAAGGACTGTCAAGTGTAGCCTCGAGGGAGTAACCGATGTAGTCGATACTATTCAACCATCTCGAGGTACAATGCAATACTAGCTCAGTCATCTCACAACTCTCTCTTGGTGATGACGTTCCCTCTTAGCATCCCGTGTGTCAGCCTTCACCCCTAAACCTCTAAACCCTCACCCTCACCCCCACCCTTACCCCAACACAAAAGATATGCGACAAATATGTGATTTGTACCTTATATTACTGCAATGCAGGGAGAGTGACAGAGAGTGTGTAGGTTGTCGAGTTGTTGTCATCTCATGGATGCTTTGTCAATAACAAGACCATTTGGCAACGGTCGTATATCAAGAACAAGATCTCACAATTTCAGGTAATAACAAGGTAACAGTTCCGCTGATCCACCGACCAGGCAGAGACGTCTTCCAGTTCATTACGTGGCTGCAATCATTAGTTTGTCGGATATGGTCGAAGGTTAGCTTAGCAGGTGGTGATTTTATCCATCTAATAAAGCTTGATGAATCCACGTATCGTTTCGGGGCCCTAGAGTAGTGGTTAGAGCGTTCGCTTGTTCGGTTTGCCCATATAGAGTGCAGTGCGTGAGGCCCCGTGAATACTAGTGAATGCACCGTACCCCACTCACTTACAACATATACCGTCTCACAGATAACTGACCACCGTTGTCCACAGTATGGATATGCCATTTAAACTTAAATTTAAAATGAAAACATGTCTTTAAAATATTTTCTTTTCCGCAAAAGAAAGTACACGAGTTTTTTTATGTAATTGAAAATTGATTATGTCTATTTAACTATCACTCATCCCTGCAACAGTTTGTAAAAAGTAATCGGTGGCTGAGTAATTTTGTGTAAAAAAATGGTTTAATGAAGACTGGGCTAAGAGAGGAATTTAAAGTTACATGACGCCTTCCATGATTGTTTTTTTATATGTGCCGAAAAAAAGAATATAAATTTTAAAGATTAGATTCGAAGATATCCATCGGCAGTTGTTTATTGTGCTAATTGTGTGGGTTTTTTTAAAAGTTTTAAATCAAATTATATTATAAAATATAAGACCATGTTGAAATATTCTTAAATGCCAGAACAGTTCATATTTTTATATAACACCGCTAACTTTTCAATTGAAAATGGCTACATAATATCGCTAAAGATTAATTGAACATTATATATGTTAAGATCAGCTGAGTTGTGTAGTTCCTTTTGCTCTTCAGTCAATGTTCGAGAGGAGAGTCGTGCACGTGATGTTATTGTGTCCCTCACATCACGGACCTGTATATCCCTGGTTATCCAAGTCCGTGATCACATTCAGTTCTTCGTGAATCTTATAAATACTCGTAGTTGTGTCAAACTGTACTCAAATATTCTAGAACAGAAAGGCACAGTTGGTGATAAGTGGCATAAATATTGAGAACATGGTGAGTACTTGGTGTCTGCATCAACATTATACCCACAGCATTCATTATACCAGCCTTGCCAACACAGTGGCCCCAGACAAACATATCATCTATTTGGGAATATGTACCCGACACATAATGGCAACCTGTGATAATCGGCGACATCTGGTGTTCATTGAGCGACTCTGAACGTAACAGCTCTCTGCAGAGAATATGGTGGTTGCACTGAGGCCAAAGCGCAATCGGAGGGCATGACACATGATCTCTGCTTCTGCGTTTGCACCATCTAACTGTCCCCAAACATTGACAACGCATGCGCAGATGGTACCACATCAGGTAGATATGACTTGCTCCCATGGCTTTAGACTGACAATTTGTCAATGAAAACATGTCTTTAAAATATTTTCTTTTCTTCGAAAGAACCTTTCCTCTTCTGCTGTTTTCATTTGGCATCAAGCAAACTAGACTTGGCTAGTTTGATCTAGACTTGCCTAGGATTGTAGTAAAATAAATACCTAAAAATTATATATTTCACAGTCATGGCGCAGGACTACTATGGCCTGTAGGGTGGGCTTCAGGATGACTGGTGACCTCGATTACCTCAAGCTATTAACGTCTCGTCGCTCGCCCTTTTCGTTGGTTTAGAGCAAGGTCAGCGGTTCAAGCAACGGTCACACCTACATCGTAGTTCCATATGACGTGGTTATTGTTTATAGCATGTGCGTTAAAGTGGGATGTGACCTGGCCACTGATTGTAACAAAATTAATGTCAACGTCTGTGACGCACTGTCTGTCTGGATACCATGTGTTTTAAGGAAATCCTTTTGTATGTAATTACTCTGTGTTCAAGGTACTAAGTCATTGCCGTTTTAGACCATGTTGTAAACTTCTTGCATAAACTGCCGGACAAAAGAAAGTATTGACCAATGGTGGCTAAAAATGAACAAGAAATGGTTATTCGGTGGTGATGTGTTTGATACGGGTATCATAGTTGTGATTTTACCTTAAGTTTGCAGTGTTCAGCGACTTGTAATTGTTTGGTCAAGTCCGGTTTTCCAATGTAAACCTTCTTTTGCCCGACAGTTTACGTATTTTCATATATTCTTTTGTATCCGCAACGCGTCCGGTTTTGCATTTAAAGGTATTTTCTGTTCGAAAGTTGTACCTTTTAATGTAACCCGTTTTACTGACAATCAATGCCGCTGGTGATTTTGATAATCATAAACTTCATGTTTTCCTTCAGAGCTATCGTGAATTTAGGTTGGAATGGTTCGGAGATCGCGGTTAAAATAAACACACTTCTATCTACCCACTCATTTACCTCTAAGCACGGGATGTGAATTTCAAAAATGTTTTTTTTTATGTTAAGCATTTAGAAGCTAGTGGTTCATACAGACAACTTGGTTTCTGCTTCTAGAGTCTCATACACATTTCGAGGTTAATACTACACATTCATCAAGTGAAAGAATACATGTGTTGAACGTTGACTAGTGTCTCGATGACAAATGAGTTGTATTTTTCATTTCTTTTTGCCTCTTTAGGTGTGTCATTAAAATCAGATCTCAGTGCTCGCTACCGGTACAGGTCTGCGGATATCCATTTACAGGTGACGTCAAAAGGAGATCGCACAAGTGAATGTGTTTTCTAATCCAGCAAACTGGGAGTTCCGAAAGACAGTTACGGGCTGCACTGCTGATTCAATGCCATACAGTCTCGGCCATTTGTTAGACATTCCAGAATTGTCTTTAGTTCAGATTTCACATTTTTAATCTAAAATATTGTCAAACATTTGTCGCCATTTTGAAACTAGTGCCGTAAAGCTGGAGAAAGCTGCTTTCTGGTTGGCTAATGTCAACTTCCTGTTAGGCATTTCATTGTCAGTCAAAGTTCGCAAAAGATCGTACGGACGTGACCTGTGATGGGATGTCCTCGGTAGCGGCGATCTCTAAGATATGATTTTATGGAGATTGCCTTAACTCATAATATAACAAGCCATTGTTTCTCACTCATTCAACTACTTGTGTTTCAGAGGCCATCTTCTCTCGCGCTGGAGTCGTGGACGGCAAACACGTGACCATCAACATCATGGACACGCAGTGGCACGTAAGGCCTGACTCATATAAGCGTCCCCTGCGGAACACGGTTAGTTACTAACACTGTTGCCCTAGACTGCATGCATTAACTGTAACAGACACACACACTGGGAGAGCTATAAATAATGTGTACCCAGGTGCCAAATACAAGACAACGCTTTGGTGCAGGTTGAACGACAATGGAGTAAACGTTGAACAACACAAGGTCACGTTGAACAACGATCGAGTGAATGTTGAACAACACAATATCGTGTTGAACAGCGATCAAGTGCACGTTGAACAAAACGGCCATACAACACAAGCATGTTGTCTCGGCATTTCGTTTTCGAAGTAGAACTAAAGAATCTCCTCCAACCAATACGTCTTCTTGTGCTCATCACATGCCTGACTGGAGGTTACATAACTGATTTGTTACTTGAATGTTTCCCGAAACATCTGATATCTAGAACACTGTTTAGAAAAGACTGACCCTGGTGGCCTGTTGTACAGATCTACTAGACAAGGGGTTATTTATTTGTAAAGGAGGTTGAGATTGACGACGCTTTTAATAAGGCACGTCACGGCACATCAGCTTTATGTGTCAATGTCTGACACACCAGGATCATAGTCAGGGTCAATCCGGGACCAGAACCAACAACAAACGTATGGCAGCCATTGGAAGTGTTTCGAACTCAACTTGGCAACCACGCCTTCATCAGCTGTGTTAGAACAAGTATATTGTCACGTTCTCCTTGATTAGAATACCTTAAGGAGTTTATTGTTGGCACAACACGTGTAAGGCTTCACTGAAGTGATACGTTCCTCGAATACTCCCCTAATGGAAAGACGAGCAGACATAAAATGCACGTCTCGAGACGTGGTTATTGTGTCATCTTTGTGGGCGACGGAAGCCCCAATACTCGCTGTCGTAAGAAGCAGCAACAAGTGGCTTACCCTGACTACCCTGACAACACGTGTACATGAGACACTTAGCATGAGACACACGTACCAGACTCAGAGGACAGTGAAGCCATGTTAAAGTCGGATAATGATTCAGCAAATATGTCCATTTTCCACGATAAGGTACTGCGTCGTGTGTTGAATCCTAGTAGGATAGGGTAACAGTAGCATTTTGCACACGCCAGCCATCGGCTGATATGAAACGTTATCATCGTCTGAGAAAATATAGGACATTGGGCAATGTGGCCTTTAATTTAACCACATGTTGGAAGAGGAAACTTTATAAGGGCTAGTTGTTTCCGCTGAAGATCAACTCGCATATAGTTCATATTCAAGATTTGGGTAATTTCTTTTTAAAGTGATTTTAGAATAGGATGGGTGAGGTGCAATGGGGTTAACGTCGCGTTGACGATTATTGCACTTATATGGCCGCGCACGTGCGTGCGTGTACTAGTCCGGACTAATGCCGATTTTATAGTGCTAACACACTGAGATACCATGCCGCAGTTTAACATGAATATCCCACACAGACAAAGTATACTGACTCCTAGCCGACGAGTTCTTGTTTTTTCCAATTTATGCCTAGTGCAAGTCAAGGTAACAAGTAGCCCCTTAATGCCGATCGCCAGGCAGGGAAACAACCAGTACCATATCTTAACGTCTTTTGGTGTGATGCGGCCGGGGATCGAACCCCGACCTTCCGCTCTCCGGGCAGAGGCTCTATATGTACCCTTTATTAGTACAGGCTATTCTTACTAAATGTACACGTTGACTGAAATGGGTATCATTTGAAATGCTTCATTGTAGTAAATGGTCGTACCATCCCATCTACAATACACGTCGTGTGAGCCTGAGCATAGCGGGCTGTAATCCACACAGCGAGCCATAGTGAGTCACACTGCCGACCTGGTCACGTCATTGCATGCCGTACACTACATGACGCATCTCATACGTCTCCTGTAACATCTTCATAAGATAACGTTGCATGTTGCCGACCCTACTGGCATGGTTGAACACCGGTATCCTTCCTGTGCATGTGTCGGATCCCCTGTTTGTACTGGCACATTGTTGGAGCTTGTTCCTTTCCTGTGCATACACTAGTTTATGTTAACATCATTATTAAATGGATCTCAGCCTTTGGGAGGTGATGTCGGGGGGTGGGGGGTGGTTGCAGGGGGGGTGGGGGGGGTGGGGGGGTGGGGGAGAGCGAGAACATTAAAGGGGTATATTCATTCGTTAACTTTTATTTTCTTTCGAAAGCACAACGGCAATTTTGTGGACGTTGAAAGACAATGTGATCACATTCAAATGGTAAAAACATGCAAACAGTTATGAGAGTTTTAACAAGTACAAAGAGTCCACTGTTACAAGAACGTGTCCACCTCACCAACTCCCTGTCGACGAATAAAAGAGTATTCACTGACGGTTTAATTATTGCAAGAGCGTGGCCTCTATAACAAGAGCGTGGCCTCGACAACAAGAGCGTGGCCTCTATAACAAGAGCGTGGCCTCGACAACAAGAGCGTGGCCTCCACAACAAGAGCGTGGCCTCTAAAACAAGAGCGTCTCCTCTATAACAAGAGCGCTGCCTCTATAACAAGAGCGGTGCTTCTATAACAAGAGCGTGGCCTCTATAACAAGAGCGTTGCCTCTATAACAAGAGCATGGCCTCTATAACAAGAGCGTTGCCTCTATAACAAGAGCGTGGCCTCTATAACAAGAGCATGGCCTCTATAACAAGAGCGTTGCTTCTATAACAAGAGCGTGGCCTCTACAACAAGAGCGTTGCCTCTATAACAAGAGCATGTCCTCTATAACAAGAGCGTTGCCTCTATAACAAGAGCGTGGCCTCTATAACAAGAGCATGACCTCTATAACAAGAGCATGGCCTCTATAACAAGAGCATGGCCTCTATAACAAGAGCGTGGCCTCTATAACAAGAGCATGACCTCTATAACAAGAGCATGGCCTCTATAACAAGAGCGTGGCCTCTATAAGAAGAGCGTGGCCTCTATAACAAGAGAGTGGCCTCTATAACAAGAGCGTTGCCTCTATAACAGGAGCGTGACGTGAGCATGCTCATCATGTTCACTATTACAAAAGCGAGCGAACAGCGTGTACATTGACACCAGGCAATTCTCTATTGACAATTTGACAAATAAAACAAGTCGTTCATCACCTTCGGGATGTTTCTGTCAGAGCAAGCCTGCACCAATCAATGTCATGTCACCCGAGCTTCTTCTGCTAAGAGGCTCTTAAGAAAATTAAGCCTGAGATCCACACAACCACGTTATCACGGATCTCAAGCACGGGATCATAATTGAATCGTTTAAGTGTGTTTGATATTGTTGATGCGGTGTCGTGCCGCCTAGATACGGCACAGCACTGGCGGCTCGTGACGTCGTACTGCACCATGCTAGCCTACCGGCCCCGGCCCAGCAACCCAGCTGAAGGGAATAATCGGTATGTGAGTCGACACTCAATTAGTGTTTGTGAAGGAATATGGCTCCTGTGATCTAATTCTTCACGAAAGTAGATTTTATCTGGCTCTTCCTCTGTGTTGCGAGGATAATTGTGCGGAGAAGATGCGCCTCCTGTTCTAAGATAAAGGTCAGTGACCTTGACTTATGCCAGTCCTTATGACAGTCCTACATCACGTGGTTCTCCATAGTAGTCTACGTTCATACTTTATTACCGAGTGTCGGGGGAGTCGACGACCAAGGCCGTATATCGCATGTAATCATATAATCATGTCTCCAAATGCACGTTTATGCGACCGTCTCGTTATCTAGCAGAAACAGATGATTAGTTGGAACACGTTGATATTACTCTAAGTGACATTAAACTGAGGGCTAAGTTTAACGTAGACTGAACACCACCCCATTTAATTATGCACTGTTGGGCTAGATCTTCCCACATGAAACAGAGATTATTGGACGAAAATGAAAACATTAGTTTGGAAATTATCGATGGTACATCACATCGGATAGTCCTGAAGTAGTTTCTTACATAGCTGATACATGTTCAACTAGCACGTCCTATAATCAATGACGTTACGTAAATAGGCGGTTATCTTGACATTCCAGATGGTCCTGTCACCGCGAAGGGTGGGACAACCTCGTGGATTACTTTCTTTATCCACTGGAAATGTTAACTTTAAACACTTCTCGAAACACCCGACACGTTCACATGCCTGACAACTAAGACTTCCCTATACCTGCAAGTTGTGGACTTCAGCATGCAGACATGATCAAATACATACGTATGTCTAAAATAAGTTGAAAAGGGAGATGTTTCGAACTTCTGCCAATCAGTATGATGGACAAAGGTCTATCACATGATAGACAAAGGCCTAGCACATGATGGACAAAGGCTTAGCACATGATGGCACAGACCTAGCACTAAAGAAAACATAACAAACACAGCATGCTGACGAAGTACCTGTTAGATAGAGGCCTAACACAGCATGGCCTGGATCTAGCAGGTGATGGACAAAAACCTAGCACCGCGTGGACACAGACCAAGCACAAGATAGATAAAGGTCTAGCACAGGATGGATGCAGACCAAGCAGCCGGTGGTGTGTGCTTGCACGGGTCGCCAGAAACCTATGATTGTGGGTTCGAATCCCGGTTCGCCCCGATTATGTTTCTAGGTTTGTCAGCACCATACCCGTGCTCGTGGGTTTCACCAAAGTAGTAAACGTCTTAGACCTGCATCACTTCGGGCTTTCCTCCCACATTAAGCTGACACGTCGTGATATAACTGGAATACTGTTGGAAGCGCATAAAACCCAACTCACTCACTCGTTTCAAGTGGAGGGCGGGAGACAAGCCAGTAATCGTTTGCTTCAACGGGTGGTGGGAACATCAGCGAGCTTTCAGCAATTGCAACACATCTCGCTAGTTTTATCAGTCACATTGATAAATGTCGCGAGTCGTTAGCACGAGATCCAAGGAATTTCTGACATAGGCAAATGCTGGGCAAATGAAGTTCTGCAACTAAAAACACTTCAGTTTTGTGGTGTTGGCTAATTTATAGGTTGAGGCAGTTTATGTGTAACCTCATAATGGTATCATGGGCGGTTTCGCAAGAAATTCATCGATTGTCTAAATCGAGATGCAATCAAACGATATTAATGGACATTGATTCAACCTACTAACACGTGCAAATAGGTTGTGAAGTCTACACGATATACGGATTTTCCATTGGACGAGAGGTCAGTCACATGACCAGGAAAATGTCGTTCCTAAGCCTATCAACGACACATTTTGACATTCACACGTTTGTCAGGAATCCTTGAAATGACACTAAAGTATTATTTCCACATTCCTTGAGAAACTCTTGGGAATACTCTGCCACGAATAAAAACAGAACCATTTATTCTGATCCTTTAGGCATTCTTTTTTCCTTGAATTCATGTTTTTGCACACATGACTGCAGGACCTTAATGGACTTTCCTCGTTATGGCCTTTCCTTGTGAAGAAAACGAGGACATGCACACGAGTGAGTGAGTGAGTGAGTGAGTGAGTGAGTTAGGTTTAACGCGCCAGGGCAGTGATGCAGGTCTCAGACGTTTACCACTTCGGTGAAACCCACAAGCACAGGTATGGTGCTGACAAACCTAGATTTGAACCCATAATCATAGGTTTCTGGCGTGCCCAAGGGACGCAACTCTGCAAAGCGAATCTGGGACGACTGGGCCACCCGTACCCCCCGAAATGCACACGAAGGCTGTGTACTCTGACTTTGACTGTCAACAATATTATAGAGCAATATATGAATTTACTTCAGCACCTAGTCAACAAATCTTACAATGCTGACAGCCAATTGCCACACGTTCATTGAGAACTTGGAACCACTACCGTCAGGTTTATCGTCAAGGCCATTTTGACGTCCAAGGTACCGTTCAACAAAGCGATCGTAGCGCAACGACAGTCGAAAGACCGTGTGAAAGTAAGGGAGTTACGATGGAAAGACTGCCGTCCGTATCCCCTATCCAAAAGTTAATTATATTTACATATTTTCTTTCAACTATATTTCTTTGAGTGGGAGATACGGACGAAAGTCTTACCGTTACGATAATCTTAGCTCTACGATAGCTTTGTGGAACGGAATCTTGTTCTTGAAGTAAATGTACTCCTGTAACCAAGGAAGTGTTCAGAACAGACACAGGGCGTAGTGTAGTGAGGAGTGTGCGACCGAAGTCCGAACAAACATATACTTCATGATAAATATGCACGTTTTTAGATATGTACGGACATATCACATCTAGTCCTCCGTGTACTCATTTACAACATCACACGGACAACATCATAGTTACAAAACAGCACTGCTCTGATGCACTTATACCATGATTGATCCAGTTGAAGGTTCTCTTGAAGGCACAGGTTTTGAGTGTCAAATTTTCTGTTTCTCGGATTTCTTGTGGCACCACCTGCAGATGTCGATCCTTTGATCGCAGAGAACGTGCTGACTTGTAGGGCAGCATGGGTTCCTGTAAGTATACAGCAGCCAAACCATGCATTGCATTGTAAACCAGGGTGAGTAGTTTAGTCGCACCCTTTGGTTGAATGGCAGCCAGCGTACTTAAGTCAGCATTGGAGTCATGTGCTCTCCCTCTGGTATTCATGTCAGAATTCATGCAGCTGTATTCTGACACTATATGTGTGCATCAGTATATCTGCATAATGCTATGATATACATAATTACATTCATATACAGAAATACAATCATACTTTGGAGATGACACACAGTTCCGGAACCGTTAAGTTCCGGGGTAAAAAATAGTTTTTTTTCAGCAACCCATGCTTGCCGTAACAGGCGACAATGCTTGTCGTAAGAGGCGACTAAAGGAATCGGGTGGTCAGGCTCGCCGACTTGGTTGATTCCATGTCATCGTATCCCAAAAGCGTAGATCGATGCTCATGATGGCAATCACTGGATTATCAGGCCCAGACTTGAATAGTTAGAGACCCTCGTCATATATCTGGAATATTGTTGAGTGCAGCGTTAAACAACAAACAAACAAACACTCGGGTCGGAACGGGGTGCACCAACTACTGATCTTACAGTATAACGACTGTGGTGACTGCCTCTAAATACATGTACACACATACTCAAGGAAAACTGTATCGTGTAGCAAACATGTTTACATGTAATCCCCTTAAATACATATATGCGATCGCTTCATATTACGCGCAAACAACATAGGTAACTATAGACATGGTAAGTAAATATGCATTCACTCACTCATTCTCAAATAAATAAAATAGATATTGTGATGATATACTAATAACTGATTACACAAATATGTACAAATTCATAATAACAATGCATATAAGATATATTACTTACCTGTGAGGAAGATCTCACTGATGAACCTAAACACCACACAAAGGACGGCTGTGGTCAGTAAATGGTCAAAATACAGAGAGTAAACACATATAAACACCGCGATTGATGTACTGAGGATGTTCTTAAGAGGAATTGTTTATATAATCATATTATTCAAATCTATTTTTGTGACTGTGGAACATTTTTAGCATACACTCTTATGCCATCTGTCGGTTTAAGAAACCATTTCTTTCTGCGAAATAGCGCAAGCTCCGATGAAGTTTAATTGTTGAAAGCACAAGTATATATTTACTCATTTGTTGGCAGTCAATATTGAGTTGTCGCATTTTATGATCTGCATTGGCCTTTACAATGATTCCTATGCAATTTCCTTTCTATTTCTGTGCTTCGCTGTGATAGCTCCTCGTTCGTTCATCTACATACCACTATTGAAGGCTACGAAACGACTCGTCAGAAATGTCTACGGCGTGAGATGTACATACACCTCCGACTGGCTACAAATAATAACATCTCCGCCTGTATCACTTACCTCCAAAACGTATACCTATACGAAAGTGACCTTGATTACGGATTTGAGACTAAAAACAAATAAAGAGCAATAAACCTTCTCATTGGGGCCACCGTGTGGTTTACGAAAATCCCTACGATATATTTTTGTCTCGAATCCCTAATAAGAAAGACAGTTCCAAAGATTCTTCCCATAGTTTCATGCAGTGACATGGAACGACTGATAATAAACGATGAATGAATTGGGATACGGCAACCACAACAGTGTCCTCGTCTAGCTTACTGGTAAGCCAGAATAAGTTGATTTGTGGCCTGAAAATTAACCTCGTATGACTAAGTATGAGGTCCGCCCACTGTTAAGAAAGGGGTAGGGGGTGGTCCGCGACAAGTAGTACGGTGGATATGAGCGTGCCTCGGCTAACAGTTCTGGTATCGACTTGTCACACCGAACTCTTAATAGTCTTACGAGCAACACGTGTATCCACGGAAGGGTATTCAATTTCATCGTCATGACCTGCACGTGCACAACATGCGTACACCCTCTCTTCCTGTAACCAAATATGTTTGCCCAACGTCTGTGCACCGCCTTCTTGTCTCAAACGCGTTTTGTGAGTTGGTTCAGCTGGATACGTATTCTCGCTGTTTGCCTGTTGTATATCAACTGAAACCACCACACAGTATTAACTCGATCAGTCAACTGTTGTATTTCCAATATTTTTAAAGGAGATTACGCTCCGTGATCTGGTGCCCTAAGCCTAGAGTCTAGTAAGTCAAGTAGATGATTGTGTCCAACAATTGTGTTTGGAATTACTTTAACGTGCTCGGACAGTGAGAAACAAAAGAGCCTTTGATCCCTTTAATGTAGTTCCTATACTTGATTAAAATTATTATCTTAATACTTCCAGGCACCCAGCAACGGACTTAAGGAGGATCCGATCACCTGGGCGGACGGTTTCCTATTGGTCTACTCAGTGACGGACCCGGAAAGTTTTCAGTTTGTTGTGGACTTGGTGGACCGTCTCCGATTGGCTAGAGAAGATGAGAGACTGCCAATCGTTATCGCTGGCAATAAGTGTGACCTTATACACATGCGTCAACTGACGCTCCAGGAGTGTACCGGGTGGGCGCAGGAACATAACTGCCTCCACTGTGAAGTGTCGGCTAGCGATGACTGTGACAGTGTGTATGAGGTGTTCAATATACTGTGTCGACAGGTGAAGACGGTGCATAAGAAACGAGAAAAACTTACTTGGATCATGCAGAGGCCGGCCGTGGCGGCCAAGTTACAAATCAGACAATCTCTTAGAAACCTTGCTGAGCGGAAATGGCGATCGAGGACCTCAACATTGTGACGATGTGTGGCAATTGGTTCCTTTCGTCTCCACGTTTATTCCATTTACTCAAATATTTAATGACATTATAACCTGGTGCGGAGGTTCCCACACACTCGGACATATACGTAATGCTCTCAGATACAGGTCGCCTTTTGATTTTGTCGTTGACTGACTATGCCTTACACGTGGATGAACCTCAGCTTTAACACAGGGCACTTGGATTCAAAAAAGAAAAGCATGCAAGTTATATTCTTTGAATGGAAACCGATTGGTTCATCGGAGACAGCCATGTCTGACAGCTACAGTAGATGCCTTGACCCTGAAGTATAAGCTTGGCCTCGTTATGGAAATTCGTCTGTGACCCGTATTATTTAGAACGATCCCGCAATCTCAAATCTGGGGGTTACCAATCCCTGTGGTCGATTTGTTTTCCTTATTTCACGAATGTATATTTTATCCCCGATTATCATTGCAGTATCAACGTAGCCGCTGCATGTAGCCCATGAGCTTGATTCTCCTACCTTGAGTGTGTGGGACTAACGTACGGTGGTTAAGGCCTTGGGCTGATACCTCATGGACGAGAGTTAGGTAAGAAACCGCTACCAAGGACCTTCAAAAGAAACTGTGACCGGACTTTATGGGTTGAAGTAGGTCTGAAAAACATACAGGAACTGATTAATCAGCTGGAAACCCGCTCTTCTCATCATCCTGCTTCGTCATATCTGGGTGAAGTTGGCGGAACCTCTGACACTAAGGTGCGCATCTTGTCTCGCCATGGGGCGGTATTGCCCGCCTGTAGAAATATCTTGGTTGGACACACGCGAAGTAGTTTAATATCGTTTTCTGTACATGAACAGATGCCAATACGTTCGAGAGATACTCATTTGACTAACACGACTCTGCAATATACATTTTTTAGTTTAGCCCTAAAAGATTATTTATGTGTCCGTGTCATGCTCTGGATATGTCTCGCCTTCGGTCCCAGCGTCAACACCAGGAACAGAAACGACGGGTATGGGGTTTAACGTCGCGTTCAAGATTACTGCTCTTATATAACGACGTGCATGCACGTGTGTTGGTGAGTGGCTGCTTGTACTAGTCCCGATTTGATGCCTCTTATTTAGTGCTAGCCCACTGAAATGTCACAGCTTAATATGGATACCCCACTCAAACACAGTACGTTCACTCTGACCAGTCCTTGTTTTATCTCCTTGATATCGGGCGTCAGGCAGGGTAACAACAAGTACCATATTTTAAAGTATTTTGGTATGACGCAGTCAGGGGATAGAACCTACGACCTTTCCATCTTCGGACAGACCATCCACCACATCAAAGACCAGGGACGGTGTACAACGTATCAAGGAAAGACAGTGTCCTTATTATTGAATTATAACCAGAGTAAATATGCAAGAATAATGTGCGAAGGGATTTTTTTTTTCTGTCACATAATTTTCATTTTCCATATTCCAAAAATAATTTAATAACACACGAGATTTGTTAAGACTGCAACATATATTGCATTTAATTATATGTAGCGTCAATACATACGAGGTGACTTGCACCAAGAATTCTGACGCATATCTCAGCGATAAGCCCCGACTTAAAGCATGTCACGTGCCCTGGTTAACGGCTCTCTTTGAGAGGCGACATTATTGAATAGAGATGGATTCTTTGCAAGGGTTTATTCAGTGAAGCTATTTTAAGTAACACTTGCTGGAAATGCTCGTTTGTTTTCAGCAAGAACTATTATATTTGGGAACTTGTTTCCAAATGTCAAATAGAATTCCAACACAGAAATATAGAAACCTTCCAATTCCGCTCTCTCACCCTTATTGTAACAGTATCATAAAGACTCGTCTCATGTAGTTCTGTTGAAGGGGTTTTCGGTTTCGCCAGATGTCATCCATTTTTGGTTCCATCTCTCTGTACGTCTAAGCACTGGCATCTGTATGCCAGCTGCAGTGTTATATGTTACTGATTGAACGTTTAGTTTGCTGTGCGACGGGTTTTTTTCAGTTTTATTAAGTATCCAAAGAGTGTTAAAGCTCCCTATCAATATACGCGTAGATCAATGTGAGCCCTATAACAGTATCACACCAGACACCGTACTTTCTTAATCACCGGTAATGACTGTATACATCAAGCATCCCTGGTCTCACGTAACCTGTCTGCGAATAGCCAAGTGGCTGCAAGGATATATAGCAAGACTGATATTGAAAAGCGATAATTCGTTGCGGGAGCCGAGACTGCAGGAGAGACCTATTGTGTATATATATAGCTAGGTAGATTGGAGCCCGTGTCGATGGTGTGCATAGTGGTACTTGCGGGGTGCATTGTGAAAAGTATGTATTACTTGACACTACTTCAACATGGCAAATCCTGTTGTGTCTACGTTTACCCGACAGGTTCCACTTGCAGAAAGCCATTACCGTTCCACGGTTCATAAGTTTGTGATGTGTGTTGACATGAACTGAATGTTGGTGACAGTCTACAGTTTTCAAGCTATACTAGTAATGGCGGTCTCTGGATGATAAAACAGGGGACGGGCCGTCCAAAACAGGGGATGAAGGTCTGGGTCAACTACAGGGTCGGTATTGTCACCTGTAGCAATTACTAGGTTGGACAAACGCTAATAAGTATAAAATTATTTTCTCTGCATGGTAAGCTGAGAATACGTAATGGGGGGGGGGGGGGGGGGTAATCTGTCCCCGAACCCGCTCGGGAGGGAGTAGATATTGTCGCAGAATTACCGCCGCTTCCTACAAGTAGGACCTGCTCTGTGGCATTGCGTCTTCGTGGCAGACAGTTTCAGATTTTGTAAGTGAAGCAAATTTTTATGAGTATAAACAATACTGTATAGTCTTCTCTAGTGACTTGGGTGGGATGCTAAAGGAATACCTTATGGCATTCTAGCGTGCACAGGAGTGTTGTTTAATTTCTATTACATTGTGTATGCCTTCGGCCCATGGTACAATTGAAGGTCGACAGAAGACAGTATGGCCAAACGGCGATTTATTGCATAATGCTCAAACATGGCTGTATTTCTAGTTCACTATCTGTCTCAGTTTCACATTAGAACATTACAGTTAGATAATGTGGGATGAACATGAATCTGTTCTGGAATACACTGGAATAGGTTACCATACGCGTTACAAATTAACAAAACAAATGATATTCGTCCTCCACACAAATCGTATGTACACTGTATGCAGATATCACGCGCACCAGTGTGTTGTCTACGTCATACCGACGGCATTGTTGACATTTTTCGATCTCATTGCGTCGTCATAGCTGAAGTTTGCTGATGTCATTTGACAATTATGGGTTTCAAAGGCGCATCAGTTCATTTTATCTAAAGGATTAAACATAAATAGGAAATAAAGATACTGACTTTACGAAACTCGTGTAAGAATTCATGTATTATCGTTGCTCTCGATCGCGAAATACAAAAACTCTGATAATCGTTTCGTAACATCGCATGCTCGTATACAAATCTTTATCTAACGACTGCGGTGCGTAAGTGCAGGGGTAACATACTGCATTCTTGCCAATACATGTCTGTTGTCGATTTGCAGTAATGTTTAATGGGTACATTTAACATGAAAATAAACTGTTTATGTAACACTTTGCGTTTTTTGTGACTTTATTTCATGTACGATCTAGATATTATCATTTATTTAGCCAAGTTAAGATTAAAGGGCCCAATTCAATTTTCACAGAGAATTAAAAGAATCACAACTCCTCAACGTATCATAACGACAAGATCACCAACGCTGTTACTGTTGGAAAGACGAGGCAGCAGATGGTTAGGCTTGTAATTGCAATTTTTAGACGTCACAATAAAACAAAAGACTTTCAAGGAACATCAAACCTCGGGGACACTCAGCATTGAATATCCCTCTCGGACTGACACTCCGGTAAATTTGGCTCGACTGAAATGGACAGAAAACTCCGAACTGAGAACCTGTCTAAGAAAAACACAGTGAAAATCAATAATCAGACACAAAAGGCAAGCGTGGCAATCTCGCTAGTTGTGTTTACGCAATTACATGGACTCTTCTGATTTTCTGTGACTTGATCTATTCAAATTATTTGCTCATAATTGATTTCGGATAAAACGCATACGACCACCTACAAAGTATAATCCTTTTAAATTGTCTCAGGAAATTCAATTTAGCTGAACTTACAAAACAGAATTACATTACTTTGAGACAATAGTACATAGGGTTATTTTTAGCTCACCTCAATACAGTTGAAACTTCAAATGCTTGTCCTGCCAAAGACAGCCCGATTTGTTCACGAGGTGTGAATCAGATTTTCAATATGGCCACCATGGCAGCCATATTGAAAAAACACCATTATAAAGCCATTGTCATTTGAAGCGTAATTTTGTTTATGTGTATTTTGTTGTGAGGCTCAACGTACATGTTCCATTTTTTGGCGATATTTAAAATGTTTACCCTGATTTGACCATTGAACTTAAAATGCACTCTATGCTCTGTAACACATCCAATCCTCAGAAACCACTAGACCAACGAAGCTGCTACTCCGCATGCTCGTTCCCAGCAATGATGACACCTACATTTGTTCAGGAGCTTCGAATCTGATTTTAAATATAGCAAACACATATTGAAACCCTACTACCATTTGTGTTCAAAATGTAATGAAATTTGATACGTCTAGTTAGTAATGGGATTGAACACAACGGTCCCGGTGTTCACCTTGCTTGAGCATGAAGACATAATTTGACACTTCAACCTTATTTTAGTACAAACATATACAGTGAGTTAGGGAACTATTCATGCATAAGATTCTAAGCAAAATGAAAAAAGAGTAACTTTGCATCATTAAAAAACCGATTCTTGGCTAAAAACATTTTGCCACAAAAACTACAATGTTGCAAGGCGTTTTTCAGACAAAAATATTTAGGCTCATCGTTTTAGTCTGGTTTTGCAGCTGTAGCTGAAGAAATACCTAGTTTCCTTACAAACTCCCTGACCTTCCCACAAACCAAATGGTTGGTCTCTAAGAAGACTGTCAAAGAGACTTTTCTTTGCTGTGCTGTAGGTACCTAGTCCTTTCTCAACAGAGGGAACTGGCTGTTTTGGCTTTGACCAGCGAAGGGGTAACTGACACATTAGTCAAATTGACGAGAATGCTGTTCTGCTTGGTCCGTAGACAGTTAGGGCTTGCTTGAACTTTCTCCTGAATCAAAATGTGTACCACTGGCCTCTAGCATTGCTTGAAACATGTCTCGAAGTCAGCATTTTCAAGATCAATATTCATAACATCGCAAAAATGAAAAAAAATTGGTTGGCCCCTCAAATGATTACACCTGTGCAGAATTTCAGTTCATGGTCAATTAATAGCCAATAATGTGTTTCTAAATATGGGGGAACCGTGGCGGTCATTTACAAATACAGACCGGACCTCTGTGTCCATAGTTTAGAGACACAGTAGATCAAAGTTTCAGCTCCATTGGCATTCGCAGTTTCAGCGGAAATGTCAAAATGCAGTAATACTAGAAAAACAGGGTATTGGAAAGTCAAAGGTTGCAGCTGATACATGCAGAATACATTAAGTAATAGCTAAAAAAGACAATTTCAAATCAGATCAGCATTCTGCATGGACAGGTCACTTCACTTCCAGACAGGTGAGCTAAAATGGACAAGGCGTGACTGGCAAATGCTTTTAACCACATTTGCCCACCTTGTGCCTCCCTTCCCCCCTCAGTTGGTTGCGGAAATCGTTCAGAGGCTGCATGGTGACCTCTGCACTAAAAACAGAATTCTGATATAAAAGAATCATCAGGAGATGACATATCCCCCCGGTCTGGTGCAATTCGGAAATGGAGTTTGGCTACCTATATCAAGTTTCAAATAGAAATACATAACGGTTTTGCAGTTCTACTCCTGCAACGGAAAACGGATGGATATGCTGAACGCCCCCCATCGTTTATTCTCCCTGCAGTGTTTTATTGTACGATAAACCACTCCCACTCGTCGTTTATTTCTTAAATCAACCACGCTTCGTTCTTCATTGTTCTTTGTGATTTGTCGCGTAGCTATCTTACATAACCCAATACCAATCAATTCAGCCCACCAACAGAGGAAAATCATGTTTTGTAGTGTTGCATGCACTTAAATCAACACTAGTTTTTTGGGAGTTTTATATTACTTGTAGAGCACAACTAAACTGACTCATGTCGTACTTCCAATTCTGAACTGAAACCTGCCTCCATTCAGGTATAATCAAGTGAGTGATTTGGTCTGTTTGTTTGTTGTTCAACGCCTCACTCAGCAATATTCCAGCTATATGACGGTGGTCTGTAAATAATCGTGTCTGGAACAGACAATCCAGTGATTAATATCATGAGCACCTATCCACGCAATTGGGATTGAAGACATGCATCAACCAAGTCAGTGAGCCTGACCACCCGATCCCGTTAGTCGCCTCCTACTACAAGCATAGTAACCTTTTACAGCCAGCATGGGTTGTTGAAGACCTATTCTACCCCGGATCTTCACGGGTTTCAAGTGAGTGAAGGCTGTGTCAAGTCCCCAGTATTTAAGGCGAGAGCAGGCATGGGAAACGTTGCCATCTGTCCTGGATACACCCATAGATTTACTTCTAGGAACTGACAGATCACTCCAAAAGATGTATACCAAATCAAATGGGTTCCTAGTGATGTCGACTGCCTCCGTGGTCTAGTGGTAGAGCGTCCGCCCGGAGAGCGGAAGCACCGGGGTTCGATCCCGGCCGCGTCATACCAAAAGACGTTAAAAGATGGTACTTGTTGTTACCCTGTCTGGCGCTCGGCATTAAGGGGCTCAAACAAGGACTGGTCGGCTCGGAGTCAGTATACTGTGTCTGAGTGAGGTATTCATGTTAAACTGCGGCATAGTATCTCAGTGTGCTAGTACTATAAATCGGCATCAGTCCGGACTAGTACAAGCAGCCACACACACACACACATACACGTACATGCACGTCGCTATATAAGTGCAATAATCTTGGACGCGACGTTAAACCCCATTTCACCTCACCTCCTAGTGATGTCGACCCCTGAAGAACCCAGTAATACTTGTTCTTCAGAGACCCATGCTAACGTCATCGGGGGTGTGTGGCGTTAAACAACAAACAGGTTCTAGTGATGTCACAGCATGTCAACCCAAGTGGGGGCAAACCCCAAAGTGACCTAGGAGACAGACCAAGTGATCCAATAAGCATGGATGTAGTACAGACGCACCAAGGATCATATTCAGGATGAATCTAGGTTTCAATTAAGCGGAAAAAACTTATGGATGCAACTCCAGTGAATTGAGCTTTGGTTGGAACACTTGGAATTGTGGTATAGATGATGGTTCTGGTTATGCTCTGTTGCTCTGGTAACTATGATACATACACCACTACTGAACACATATAACTTGACAGACAACAAGTCAAACTGTCATGGATAAAATTTATTGTCAGCATAAATAAAAGGTAAAAAAAAAAGATGCAAGCGCAGTTGCTGAATCAAAAATAAAGCCTGAATTTGTAACAATGTGGTACAGTTAGTTATTTCCCTTTATCCTCTAGTTACCTTAGTAACATATAACACTGGCATGACAGCAAAATCCTTAGTCTACCTGGGATTTGAGCAGTTTGTCATTTTCACATGACTGACAGTGACTAGACTTAGTGGTTTAACATCTAATCGGTAGGAATGAAACATAGTCTACATTCATGAATATCTGTCTAATATAATTGAATAATATTAAGTTAATTGTTTTGAGTGAGAGAGTATAGTTTTACGCTGTTTTAAGCAATATTCCAGCAATATCACAATGGGACACCTGAAATGGGCTTCACACATTGTAACCATGTGGGGAATAGAACCCGTGTCTTCGGGGTGACAAGCGGAGGCTTTAACCACTAGGCTACCCCACCGCCCCTAATTGTTTTGACAAAAGTGTGAAAGAAGTATATTTGAAATTAGGATAATTGTAGGCTTATTTACTCAATAGCAGTAACGGCAATAGAAAATAATACTTCAGTGGGAGATCAGTTTTGAAAGAAGAGTTTTAAAGAATTGGTCTAGGTTCATAGGATAGTGATATAAATGAAAGCTTGTCATACACTCAGCAGTTGGACTAGAGGAAGAAAACAAGGAGGTTTGTTCTGGACAGGTAACTAGCATGACATCATTGTTATATTTAACATCAGCATAACCCAGAGCCACAAGCACTAACACTGTATGCATGTCGGTTCCAAATCTACACCATGGTTCTCCTAAGAGCGTTTGTATGTACAATTATACAAAATTGATATACATATTTATACATTTGTACAATTTCAGATTTCAATAGTCTTGCTGCAGAATAACCAGCCTTTAGGAACGTAGAACTTAAATAACAATGTTCCAAAATGATTGAAAAGAAACGAAGTGAAGGACCACCGTTTGTGTTCTGAGAGTACAAACATGGAAGTCTGGTGATGGCATCAAAGACTGGATTAATTCTTGTCGAAAAGAAACCTGTTTTATACATATAAATTCAACAGGTATATGCCATTTTAGTTTTAACAAGAGTTAGATAAAATGCTTGTCTGTCAATATCTGGTTAATGAAGAGACTGTCGTGAGTTGGGGGCTTCTAATATTTAAATGTAACCTTGTGTCAAACGTCTTTACCACACTCACACCAACCAAAGCATGCATTTCATTACATGTAGTAAAATAACTAAAACTTCATAAAACAAAGCGAAAAGGCTATTAAGGATGTCTGCTAAACTCTAAGGAAAGATTTTACATTTTTCTCAGACACATTAATAGAACTAGATGTTGAAAATATGATCTGTCAAAATGGATGGGGGTTCATGGTGCCTTCCTTTCATTGTGGTGTACCAACTTCACAATTTTCTCAGCAACACATCAGTCATTCACCATGTAAACATTTTTTACATACAACTCATAGTTGACAACTTTTGTCACAAGCAATCAGTGACCATAAATAAGTTTTTCTTGGCTGCACTGTTTGGTATCGGGGACAGCTTCGCTTAAATGTCTTTGAAGAACTTCCAACACATGACCTACAAGTTACAAACTAAACATGGAAACATTCCAGCAGACATCCTTAACTCATAAAATACAGGAGTTGATACATGCAGCTTTGTTCATGTTTCGCAGAGGGACGTTGACCCCAAAAGTACAATGTTACTCTAACATCATCTCATGTCTGTTACAACAACAGACCAAACTGTGAACATAAAAGAAATAAATATAACAAAGAATTAAAACATCTACACATGTTCTAAAACAATGTACAGATACAAACAGAAGAGGACACAGTTTACAAAATGTACATGACAAATATCAACACTCAACTACATCCATAGGTTTTGAAATTCAGACACTTGTTTCTCGCTTCCAGATGAATCAAGATTTGAATCATGCAAACTAACGCAATGGTTTTTGATTGAGCATTACTGGTGTTCAAAAGCACCAGACTTCCTAGGACTGTAAACAACTGTGGCGTCACCTACTTTCTTGTTTTGATTCAATAATCTCAGACATCACATGATCAGTTGACATCTGGTATCATTTGAACATAGAAAATACACATCAAAGCACAACCAATTCCTTTGCAAAAAATAATTTGAGACAGCAAGCACTAATTACAGCATGATAAATTTCAAAACCTCATCCATTACAGGAACATGTTCCTCAGCAGCATGGCACATCATTCAGTATGACAGCTCTCAACTATATCAGGCCAGACCAATCAGTTATTTGTTTTACAGATGAGCTTGTCCTTAATTTTGCACAAGGACAACAAATACTTAACAAAAGCGGTCTTAAAATTAAAAAAGGTTATGTTAAACACCATTCTGTTTGAACTTAATTTCATGTTTTTATATAGTTTCTGACTATACTTACTTGCATAGTTTTGACATCTGTAACTTGGTATGTTGTATGAAAGCTGAACAGGAAAGAATCTTGTCTGGGTTTACTTCCTTCAACGAACATGGGCATCGAATTTATAGACACAGCTAGAGGTATTATGATCATATCTAAACATAATGAGAATGTGTGAAGCACAACAGTTGCAGAATGAATGGGTATGGCTTTATGCAGCTTTTAGCAATATAGCAGCAACACGACAGGGGACACCAGAAATGGGTTATATCATGGCATGCCAGCCAAGTGTTGAGGATTACCTTAAGTGATGAAGTTTGTAGGTGTTAAGATAGAGTTGAAACCAAAGAACATGGTATGGAGCTGACTGACTCCACGATCAAGGATTCTGGCAATGCTAAGGGATGCAACTCTGCACAGCACTAGATCATCTGTGCCTGCACCTTACAAGACAAATGATCGGAAGACTAACTTTGGATAGTAATGAGATGAAAATTTGATAAAAAATAGCTCTTGACATGCTTGAACTGCTTCATAGACCAGTTGCCTGGAGAACTGTCATACTTCATGATGCAACACTCTTGTAGCCCTACTGCAACAACAGCACTGGAGACACAGAACAAAACACTTATGGTATAAGAACCACATTGAAATCAACACTCCTTTTCATTTAGGGAAGACCATGACAATCGAACACAATGCCATCCTTCTCTGTACAGGATCAGCCACTACAGCTGGTGCTCATTTTGATGTGTCACATTCTTCAGACATTAGTCAGTGTCTTCCGACTACTGATAATTGCACAATTTGACAATACACCTGATGGAATTCTTTATACTTTGCTGGTTCTGACTTGGTATTGCAAGCCCAGCATTCACACTCCTGAAGTCTCTTCAGTTGAATTGTTTTTATGTGTCTGCATATTTAACAGCAAAAAACCCAAGAACCTCCTTATTCACTAGCACGAACTACATCTCAGCAATTTATAACAGCTGCATTGTAATTGACATTCCCCATTCAGAAACCTATGCATAAGTACTCTTAACACCCTAATTCCGAGTGCAATCATTCAACTCCAAGAAGCATTCAATGCCTAAGGCATTCCTTTTCTGGAGTGAATGCAACACAGACATTCACCTTTGGGAGCCAATGGATCTTCTTGAGTTGATATTCATTCCAAAGCCATTCTCCTTCTCAAGCCAATGGACCATAGATATTCACCTTTTCAAGCCAATGGACCAAAGACATTCATCTCCTCAAGGTAAGGTGTCAAAGGTATGCGCTTTCCTGAGCTGATGTTTTAAATGCATTCCCTAAGCTTTTTGGCATTTACCTTCGGATGTCAATGTCTCAAAGACAATCACCACATCTGTTGGCATTCACTTTAAGAAGCTGATGAACCAATGGCATTTATCGTCTTTACCAAGACATTTCCCCCTACTTCTGGCATTCACCTTGTGCAACTGATGCACCAAACCTTGCCCAACACATTGGTATTCACCTTCTGGTGCCAACTTATGAAAGGCATTCACCATCTCATTTGGCATTCACCATCTGGACCGGGTGGACCAAAGAAATCACAGTCAAGTAATATACAATGTCTGGATACACTACAACACTAGTGAGTAACAGACAACACTCATACTTCAACTCGTCAACCCATGGACTGTCACTAACATTGTAACCATATGGTTAAACATATCATGCATCACCTGGTAGTAAGTGCTGTTGCTGGCTAGTTATGACAGTGGTGTAAGAGCATGCTTTCAGATATATATATGGTCAACAGAGGAACAACATTTTTCTGTGCACCCAAGCTATTCTGTTCCAAGTATTCTGTTACAGCTTCAAATATGCTTCAGAAGCTGACATAGATTTAATACTGTTTTGAATTTCAGTTACAATTAGCACAATGTCAGCACAATGTTCGAAACTCCTACAAACACAGGTCAAATCTGGCATAGTATGGGTTATACAGATGTCAGTATAACCAGATATAGTATGGGTTATACAGATTTCAGTATAACCCGGTATAGTATGGGTTATACAGATGTCAGTATAACCCGGTATAGTATGGGTTATACAGATGTCAGTATAACCAGGTATAGTATGGGTTATACAGATGTCAGTATAACCCGGTATAGTATGGGTTATACAGATGTCAGTATAACCAGGTTTAGTATGGGTTATACAGATTTCAGTATAACCCGGTATAGTATGGGTTATACAGATGTCAGTATAACCAGGTATAGTATGGGTTATACAGATGTCAGTATAACCCGGTATAGTATGGATTATATCAGTGTCAGTATAACATGGGATAGTATGTGTTTGACCGATGTTAGTATTACCTGGGATAATATGGGTAATACAGATGTCAGTACCACCCAGCAAAATCCCTGAATATGATGAATTGTCTTCATCTCACACAGACTACAGTGTGACACACATATCTATAGAATTGCTGAAGAGCATGCTGAGGTGACACCGGACTGATACATGCCCAATACTGTGGTGGAGTCCAGGCATAGACTGTTCGAGATTATCACTCCAGTTGAGTATCAGCATCAAGGATTACATTGAGCAGCAAGAGCACAAGGAGGGGGCTTTCATGAACCATCATATTCCACCTGTAACTCAAGGCTTCCCCTTCGAACGAAGACTGAGAATGCATATAACTAGCAGGGTTTCTTCAACCATCAAAACATGTCCATCAAAAGTCTTTCATACTCTGTAAAATCTCTTAAGGATTTCTTTTTTGCCTTCAAATCTTCAGTCAGGTCCCGGCTAGTCAGGTGAAGCATCAGGACATGAGAGGCCTTCGGGGGGCTTTGTGACACATGCAACACTGAACGCTTATCACAGCTGGAGAACTTAAGGCATACTTAAGCTCAGCTAAGGCAAACATAACATCTACTTAAGGCCTGCTTAAGCAGTGGGAGTCTTGGAGACCCAGGACACAATGGCTTCTGTCACACGCATTGACTAGCACCAGGATACTGCATGAGTGACAACTAGCTGTGTCTATGTGTGTAGTGTTATCCAGACAACTAGTTGTTTCTATCTATATAGGCGGGAGAAATCTCTGATGGCATGGGATACAGGCTTGAGATGCTCAGCACTGAAACAAGAAAGAAGAGAAATACAGGACCATATAACAGGAAATACAATGAAACCTTGGTAACCATGGTAACTACAGCAAGTTATTTATGGGCTCTTTCAGACTATAGTGTTGATCAGCTTTCTGCAGTGACCAAAACGTTAAATTGTCTTGAGTTAATAGACTTTCTCATGAAAACTCTTGTAAAACAATTGAGTATCTGTTAACACTATACAAAGGGACCAGTTCAAAAGCTTGATATCAGATAAAAAACTGAATTTCTTAAGTTTTGAGATATACCCCAAATCCCCCCAGAAACCTCAATTCCAAAATGTTAAATTTCCGAGTCTAGTGGCCTCTTTTGTCACGCATTTTCGTCTTTGCCCTGTGTTTTATCGATCAAATCTGTCTTGATATATTACTCACTGCACAAGACAGACTATTGCCGGTGATGATAAAGGCCATTACCACCCCACACACTAAAGGAATTGAGTTTTTATCCGACATCAAACGTTTGAACTGGTTCCTAATAGAAATCTGTGATCTCTATCAATGACAAATTAATTGGAAATTTTAGTTTCTATTGTATATTTATTTATACAATTATCCTACCTCACACTAAGCAAAATGTTCTTTCTTTTTTGATCCTATGTGAAAACATGTTTGAACCCTGTTTCCAGCTTCTTAAACAAAAACACAACCCAGCATCTCTAGGGTTACGACCAACTGGGTCAATGATTTGACCTCTCTTAACGTCAAGGTTATCAAACACATTCGAGTGCATGAGCCAAACCAAGACGTGAAAAGGAACGACTGACAATATCTGTAAGAGGATCTTCGAACCAAAACCCTACATCACATACTCGAGGCAGTGGTGAGTGGAATAAAGGTTTGGGACACCGTTCATTTTCTTGTAACGTCCATGCCTAATGGGGACTTCAATGTTGCAGACTAATGTTTGTGATGGTATCAATGACAGGGGACCAATCTCTAAAGTAGTAAGGGCATTCCGAGGGGGTACGAGCTGAAGAGCAGTCAACCAAAGTCAAACTAGACCTTGGTACCTGCGACTAATCCCACAATACTAGTTGTTCTGGGAAGTGTTAAACATGGGAGCGGTGTGTACAATCGTGTTCCGAGGAATGTCAGGAGCGTCAGTCCGATCTTAAATGCCTATCCTTAGAGAGAGAGTGCCGGTCCCAATCCTTATCCCCTGCTTCGATCCAGTGTAACTTCTTTCTGACAATCCCAAGATAGACGATTGGGAGCATCCTGATGAGTAGCCTTGGATGGAGCAGTCAGATTATTGTTCCTCCTATGATCGTGCGTGTTTGACAATTCTGAGAATGGAATCTTGAATGGATTAGCGACTTTCGTTTTCTCAGACAGACGATGATATCATGGAATCTTTAGACTTAGATCTGCGGTCTAGCATTCATCTGTGGTATCTCTGGACATAGATACGGAAAGCAGAATCTTCTAAAGAATGACACTCTGTGCATCTAGATTCCAAATTACACTGGTCACAATAATCGCAGCACAACTTGTGCAGGTCTGATGTTGAATCAGTATGTTGGCATTTCGCACAGGCCAGGGGAAGTTTGTTCTTCTTTCCCATGTTGTAGACTGTCTCAAACCGCAATAAGTCTCAACAAAACAAATGTGTTCTCTAGGTCCAAGCAATATGTCCACACACGGTGACGATTAGAAAGAGAATAAGTGGGTAGAGAGACGCACATGGTCAAAATGTGGAAGGTTACTGTGCATGAGAGCACCAAATGGACCTAATTGTTGGTCGTTACCATAGTGATGCTGGGGTGTGTTTAGGCTAATGTTTTTGTTTTAGAAGATGGAAACAGGGTTTAAGCATGTTGCACACATAGGATCAAAGAAGATATGTATAGTGTGAGCATGGTGAGATAGGATAAGTTTAAACATTTAGAATTCCCCCCTGCCCACTTCACTACTAAATAGTGGTCTCGCATCATTTTACTCTCCCCAGTCAATAGAAAAAGAAAATCACTTGGTAAATCACAGGTACACAGATGTCCTGAGCATGACTATAAAAAACATTAACATAAAATGCCTCCCACCTTTTCTTGTCGGGAGATGTCAAATTTGAGTGACAATCTATTCTGATGACTATTGTGTTCCTATGTATTACTATCACCTAACAAGCAGGAGAGGCACTCTAAGTCAGTGTCATCACATGTTCACATACCTTGTGACTGTTTTATGGAAATCTGTCAGCTGTTTCTTCGTGGCCGTGACAGCTCCTCCACTACTCTCAGTGGGCAGGGCGGTCAGCGTTGTCTCCAGCCATACACAGAATGTCTGTCATAAAACACAAGTTAGCAAAGTGAAGAAAAGTCCAGCTGAGACATGAGTCTGCACAAGCAGTGAAATATATCTCACATAATACCCATAATAGCATATTACAAATGGATAAACCAACCTCTATATCCCCAGGGCTCGCATTTTGGTGAACCTACACTAACCCCTGGATCCATTCCTGTGTCCTGGGGTTCTCGTGATCTTAAATTACACCCCCCCGCTTGATTTTCATTGACTACAACACAATTTGCGGTACATTCAACATTGAAAAACTGACTGACGTGCAAAAGAGAGCCCTTTAAAATTCATTCAGATGGAAAGGATGTCTTCACGTCCATCTCCCTCACCCACTTTCTTTTTCTTTATCCCGATGTCTGATTGGTTGGAAAAATGTTAATGAAAATCAAGGGCAGGTAAATTAAGATAACCAAGGGAAAGCATTCAGTAGTTTGTAATTCAATCTCCTATTCATATCCACCCCTCATATTATCAATATCAGCATCCTATTCATATCCACCTCTCATATTATCAATATCAGTATCCTATTCATATTCATCCCTCATATTATCAATATCAGTATTCTATTCATATCCACCCCTCATATTATCAATATCAGCATCCTATTCATATCCACCCCTCATATTATCAATATCAGCATCCTATTCATATCCACCTCTCATATTATCAATATCAGTATCCTATTCATATTCATCCCTCATGTTATCAATATCAGTATTCTATTCATTTCCACCCCTCATATTATCAATATCAGCATCCTATTCATATCCACCCCTCATATTATTAATATCAGCATCCTATTCATATCCACCCCTCATATTATCAATATCAGCATCCTATTCATTTCCACCCCTCATATTATTAATATCAGCATCCTATTCATATCCACCCCTCATATTATCAATATCAGCATCCTATTCATTTCCACCCCTCATATTATCAATATCAGTATTCTATTCATATCCACCCCTCATATTATCAATATCAGTATTCTATTCATATCCACCCCTCATTTTATCAATATCAGTATCCTATTCATATCCATCTCTCATATTACCAATATCAGTATCCTATTCATATTCATCCCTCATGTTATCAATATCAGTATCCTATTCATATCCACCCCTCATATTATCAATATCAGCATTCTATTCATTTCCACCCCTCATTTTATCAATATCAGTATTCTATTCATATCCACCCCTCATATTATCAATATCAGTATTCTATTCATATCCACCCCTCATATTATCAATATCAGTATCCTATTCATATTCATCGCTCATATTATCAATATCAGTATTCTATTCATATCCACCCCTCATATTATCAATATCAGCATCCTATTCATTTCCACCCCTCATTTTATCAATATCAGTATTCTATTCATATCCACCCCTCATATTATCAATATCAATATTCTATTCATATCCACCCCTCATATTATCAATATCAGCATCCTATTCATATCCACCCCTCATATTATCAATATCAGTATTCTATTCATGTCCACCCCTCATATTATCAATATCAGTATCCTATACATATTCATACCTCATATTATCAATATCAGTATCCTATTCATATCCACCCCTCATACTATCAATATCAGTATTCTATTCATATCCACCCCTCATATTATCAATATCAGTATCCGATACATATTCATACCTCATATTATCAATATCAGTATCCTATTCATATCCACCCCTCATATTATCAATATCAGTATTCTATTCATATCCGCCCCTCATGTTATCAATATCAGTATCCTATTCATATCCATCCCTCATGTTATCAATATCAGTATCCTATTCATATTCATCCCTCATATTATCAATATCAGTCTCCTATACATATTCATACCTCATATTATCAATATCAGTATCCTATTCATGTCCACCCCTCATATTATCAATATCAGTATTCTATTCATATCCACCCCTCATTTTATCAATATCAGTATTCTATACATATTCATACCTCATATTATTCGTATCAGTATCCTATTCAAATCCACCCCTCATATTATCAATATCAGTATTCTTTTCATATCCACCCCTCATATTATCAATATCAGTATCCTATACATATTCATACCTCATATTATCAATATCCTATTCATATCCACCCCTCATATTATCAATATCAGTATTCTATTCATATCCACCCCTCATATTATCAATATCAGTATTCTATTCATATCCACCCCTCATTTTATCAATATCAGTATCCTATACATATTCATCACTCATTTGATCAATATCAGTATCCTATACATATTCATACCTCATATTATCAATATCAGTCTCCTATTCATATTCATCGCTCATATTATCAACATCAATGTTTTAGTCATATTTTCCCCAAATATTTGAAATATCAACCTACCGCCCTGTCAATCAGCATCAGCTCGTACAGAACTTCAGCTACATCCGGTATCATATACGTGGGCAGACAGAAGATGCAGGCATTGATGCATGCATGCACTAAAGCTTGACCATGATCATTAAGTAACGTTGATACTGCTGTCTTCCGCAGCTCAAAGTCCTCCTTGTCCTGAAGAAGTCAGAGAAATGTAAAACAAGCATAAACAGTCTGATATTATCTCACAAAACTCAACCGTTGTGAAGGCTGTGAATTGTTGATCATCACAGTCAGCAATATTCCAGCTCTATCCCAGCAGCCTGGAAAAGATCATGTCTGGTCAAGGCAACAATCCACACCGACACGAAGACATGGTATACGTCTACATAGTTCAGAAGGCAACAACTGTTGTGATGAGCACCAAGGTTGAGTTGAACTTGAAATTAAGCTGAAAATGTCAGTTCCATTATGGTGGCAAATACAATTCCATGACAACACGTCCACCTGGATAGTCACTGTACTCATATCAGGTTAGCAGCATACCATCCATACATACACAGACATTGTGACCATACAATCCTTATTTTAGATAACATCACAACAAACAAGTATTACTGACCAATCAAACTGAACTAAAACCTATGGGACTTTGAATTCAGGAACACCTTACTTCTTTTTCTCTTGCACACTTAATGAAGTCTGTGAGGAACTTCATGACGGAAGCATTGGCATCCTTGTGATCGAGGGAGCACGCCGCTATTGCACAACACAGGAGAGGCTTGGCCATCTGACTCTGCAGGAAGGATGCAGGCGATCGCTGGATGAACCTGGCAGTAAAAGGACACATGATCTACGGTGTGCAACATCAAATTATCAGCGATTGAATGCTGTTTCATGGACCAGTCAGTGCTATTCCTGCCATATCACAAAGATAATCAGGTGTCCTACTGCTTACCCTATTTTTCTGTAACATAAACACTTCAACCATCAAGTATGACTACAGTCAATGTCTCTGGTTCCACCATTACCATGATTAATATTAAAATATGTTCATAAGCAGAAACACTTCTAACATGCAAGACCATGATATAATTCAAGCTAATAACTAATGACAATGTTACTTCACTCACCTAAGACATAACCGGAATAAGTCGTCTACTGTATCAGGGTGGTTGCGAAGACCATTGTGCTCTTCTAGAATCTTAAATGTTGGTCCGCAAAAAGCCTGTCAGCAGAGGAAAAAACATTCAGTACCATGATATTTACCCCATGACACTCTCAGTATAAGTCATCACCACTGACTCCATCATCACCATCCCCTTCATCACTACCAACCCCTTCATCACTACCAACCCAATCATCACCATCATCCCCTTCGTCATTCCCTTTATCACCACCACCTCCATCATTATGGGGCGGTGAGTAGCCTAGTGGTTCGATTCCCCACATGGGTACAATATGTGAAGTCAATTTCTGAGTCCCCTGCCGTGATATTGCTGGAATATTGCTAAAAGCTGTATAAAACCATCTTCACTCACACCATCATCCCCATCCCCTTCATTAGCACCATCCACTTCATCAGCACCCGCCTCATCATCATTCCTTTCATCACCACCACCTCCATCGTCCCCATCGCTTTCATCGTCCCCATCCCTTTGATCACCATTTCTTTCACTACCCCCTAAAACGACCCATCTGCGACAGTGAAGTTCCTCACCTGCAACATGTCTAGAAGCCCTGGTATACAGCCTTGTTCTGTGCCATACTCGTCTACGAGAATACTGCCGAGGTACAGGAAACATGAATGCTGATGGACCTGGTAGAGACTCACCATCTGGAAACCAGTAGAGTAGAGTACAGTAGAGGCCAAATTGCGAATGCATTATACACTTAAATTAGTCAGTGAATGCCTTTTAACACTTATTCTTCAGTTTTATCATGACCAACTGTAAACTGTCAATCACATATTTTGCAATTTGCAGCATCTTGATAGACATTAATCTAGTATCTGTTGTGTGAAGACTTCTGGATGTGGCCCCGGGATGCCACTGTCTAGTATAAATGAGAGTACTGTCTGTCCTCTTACCTGTGTGACTAAAGGTGTTAACAATGTTGCGGAGTTCTTCCCCAGGCATCTGATTGCAAACCTAATACAGCGACAACACCTCTCAATGATCCTCACATCTGCTTGATACTTGTTACATGCGTTAGATAATACTGGCCATACCTACAACACAAAGACCAACATGGTACCATGATCATACTCCTCAGGAAACGAGTTTAGTTTTAATATCACATTTCCCAATATTTCACTGACATCAGTTTAATGGCAGATATGACATTGATGTAACCAGCAAACATGGGTCTGGTGCTGATAACTCCCAAACCTCGGACATGCAGGTCGTGATGGAGTTGAGTCACTCAGGGTTTTACCTTGACTTACAAAGTGGGGGATCCACGGGACCTTCAATAATTAATTTAAAGGGTCCTTGCAGGCAAAATGATGGTCCTGTAATCTAATGAAACTATGTAGTGTACTGTACATTTAAATAATTACTTTAGAGCCTGGAATGAATCAATTATCATGTGGACAGTGGTCATGATTGATGGGTGAAATACAGACACCCATACCTGCTCTTGGTTAGCTGTGACAATGAATATTATTGTACGTCCCTTGGGACACACTATATGTTTTTGCATTCTTTACATTTGTGAGTCACGTAAAACCCTGGCCACTTCATAGCACTGGGCCAACCCACCTTGTTTGCAGCTTACTAGTTACTGAATCACCAGTGAGTCTATCGTCAACTTAAAACCTTCAATTGTAAATACTACTGTCCATGTTTAACAAAGCAGCCAGCAATATTCCAGCTGTAAATAACTGAGTCTGGACCAGGTGAACCAGTGACTGATATTATGAGTAACGTCCCACACTGATGGGTACAATAACATGCACTCAACCAAGTCACTGAGCCTGACCACCTCATCCACTAAATCCCCTACAACTACAACAATAGGTTACAAGGAACAAATTCTAGCCTGGAATATCAATATCACTTTTAGGAAAGAGCAATTTTTGCTTTGTGTACGGAGAATAGTTCCTTCATTAAGTTTACGCATGAAGGTTTTACTACTGCCAGTGAGCATCTCACCTCCTGTATGACCGGCTGACATGGATGGACCTGCCCGTTGGACACACTGGGGTTTGTAAACCTGTACACAGAGAACATGTCTTCATCATCATTCATTCACATATCCACTGACCCATTAGTCAGGAAGTGATACATTTGTCATACTCAGGAGTTGTATTCTATCATCACTGGGAAAGACACAGAATGGAAACATATTTAGTAAACTTCACTCAATTATATTAACAATGGAATGGGAACTCTTGAACATACCATCAGAAATGACTACACAGGATTCATTTTCCAAAAATATGCCAAATATGAGCAGCATATTCATACAATTATTGTCTTATCATGGAACCAGTAACATGACCATCGATATGTTGCTACAGTCTGAACAAACATAGTCCAAAGCTATTAATTCTACAAAGTCTCCTGTTCCATGAACGAGCATTTTAAATTATTGGGTACCTGGGATCCTGGTGGTTTGTTCCTATAGTATTCAACAAGGCCAAGGACTGCTTAATGTTAATTCTTACTTTCCAACACTGCTCACCCACCTAAAGACTGCAGCTAGTCTGTCCAGCCATAGTGTAGGGTCGTTGATTGAGCCATGCTTCACTGGCCCAGTTTCTTCAGATATTAACTGGGAAGAAAACAGCAAAAAGACTAAACAAAAAGTAAAGACACAACTAAAAGGAAATACTTTCAACAAATTATGCAACACAAACTGAATCGTCTTAATTAATTAATTTGACGAACTTATTACGTCATGCATTATAGATGCATCTAACACTATATTTAAGTTGAGGTATATGGGCTTACTTTATTCAGGGGAGATAACTGTATGGAGCACAGCTGTTGAAGGCCCTCCGTGACTTTACCGTGAGGAAGGCGGCCCAGAATAGTGGCTGTACCTAGAAACATAATCATCACTATCACTATCTGTCTATCATATGAGTGTTCATTTAGTGTTACCTATAAGGACAGCAAGTCGCAACAGTGGAACCACAATTTGTCGAATGACGTCAACAATCTTCAGCTATGACCATGATGACCTCATGTCACAATAAGATTTGAATGACGTCAACAATGCTATCCAGATGACGGAAACAATACACTGTTGTCTCATGACGTGATATGACCGTAGGGCACATATGATTTTATGAACCCCGATATGTTTGCCCTTGAATGTAATAAAAGGTGCTTCCATATAAAACCAATACACAGTATTAGTATAACACTGAATGAGAGGTGATGAATGTCTTGTGTTTAAACACATTCATGTTCTCATTCTTTCAATAACATTTTGTTAATTTTACATATATAGCTATCCATGCTTTCATTCATGAAAATGGGACACAGAGACTTAAAACATGCTCTTCCATCTTTCCTGATCAAATTCCTTTCCAATCACACCAACCCCTACCTTTCAGTAGTCCTATGGCAGCATCATTAGAGAGATTGAAGGTGCCCATTGCCTGCACTATCTGTATGAGTCCGGCGAAGTGTTCGATCATGTGGTCTCGACACTGTGTGGAGATGCTCTGTAGACTGTTGGCAGATATGGAGGCGAGAGGGGGCTGCTGGAGGCCGGCCAGGAGATACTGTAATACTGGGTCTGCAACACAAAGCAGCATCAGCATCTCCTTTACTCCATCACTAGTCTTCACACTTTTAGCCATAACCATGATAACACTTATCATTTGTTCATCGCAATTGCCAATTCCTTTTTTTCAACAAACACTTTTTTTAAAGATTTTTTTGGTTTGATTTTATTATGAAATACCTATATTTTGCCATAAATTACCATAAAAAAGAGAGAAAATGCCAAATGCAGTGAATTGCAAGTATATATTCATGAATGCGTGTATATTATATTTATACAACATGACATAAGAATTGCAAGGCCATTATTTTCTGTGACCGACCATATACAGTATCCTATACATTTTACCTGATGAGGAATATTCATAAACAAGTCACCAGTTCACTACCAAGTAATAAAGAAATGAGAACACTTGCACCTGTCATCTTTCACATCATGGACTGTTATCATGGTTATACAGCAGACTTGCATTGTATTGGCAATGAAACTAATGTCATCAGCCAACAGTACAGGGCCCGGTTCTACAAAGCAATCTTAACGCTACTACTGCCGTATGTCTATGTAAAAGTATAGGAACTATAGCGATAAGGTCGGTTTGTGGAACAGGGCCAAGTACAACACATTTATTCAAGCAATACACTTACAGCATTTAGTCAAACGACAACACCTGAATTTGTGACTGTACATACCCATACAACAGTACATGCGCTAGCACTGCAGACTTCTCCTACAAACTCTGTATACAACTGACCAGGTGGACAATAGTAGGACGAATATTCAGCTCAACAGAAGGGGATCTGGAGTCTGGATCATTATTTAAATAACAGAAACTATGCAGCTGGCTTTCCCCTCCATGGAATTCCACGGAATAGCAGCACACTGTCACCATGCTCAGTGATGGTATCTCTGACGGGGAGAGTCAGTATGGGGCAGGTCCTTCCTTACATTTGGCATGGGGAGGCATTCACATGGGGATGCTTTCACCCCGAGGAAATATCTAGACAAAAGAAGTAATCCTTACTTAAAGGAAATCCAAAGGGACAAAGAAGTTCAATTACACATGGTGCATAACCATTTGAAACAGTGGGTGAGTGAATACTGACGAATGAGGCAACAGCAAATGCTGCTATTTGGGACAAACAGCTAAAGTGAAAATAGTAATAAATGTTTCTTACATAATCATGTAGCCAGTATGATGTACAATACGATAGCCGAGAAAAGAGTGTTTAAAAATTAGCGCTGTTGTGTTTAATTAAAAGTATGTATTTGGAGATCTGTATTTGTGACAACCCAAACAAAGCTTGAAGCATTAACGAAGAGGCACGTTTTAATTAGCATGGCTGGCTAGGCCTGCAAGCTGAGTTGTATATCAGTATGGATTCCATGTACCGGTATGTTATGTCAAGAATAGTTGTGTTGAAGAGTGTTTGTGTCACCTTCAGTCACTCATCTCACAACAACATGCAACAGCAGTAGATTATTGCATAATGTATGTAGGCAGTCAGTCCAGGTATCATAATACACTCAGCCATGTGTATAGTGTAATGTAACGTTAGCAAGTGACACGGATTCACAGAGTCTATGACATGTCGCTATATCTTTGTGTGTTTTTTTCTCAACTGCAACAGGAATCTGTGATTTGGAGAAAAGAACCAAAACAAACAAACTAATCTTTGTTTTGTAGAATTTTCCTATTCGGAATATTCTTTAGTAATACGTTACCACTGTTATACCGAGGCTGTTGTCCCCCACAACTGCTCTTATAGCGAAATCTTCCACAGAGATCTCAATTACCTCATGCAGCACGTGCGTAGCCACCTAGCTGCCACGTGACACCCTTCACTCGTCTCTTGCGAGAGCAAGTGCTCGGGGGACGGACGGTCGGGCAGCAGCCTAGTGGTAATGTATTACTTATAGAATATTCCGAATAGGAAAATTCTACAAATTACATTAAGTAATACGTTACCACTGTTATACCGAGGCTGACTAGGCGGTGGGGAGCACCTACAACCCGAAACCTGACTGCTCTTGTTCCTTCCGGCCAGCGGAAGTAAACAACAAGGCGGAAGCACTCGATGCGCATGCTCCCAGCGTGGCGTTACCATATAGGGATACCAAAGCACTGTCAAGCGCATACCGTAAGGCTCAATCGTCATTGCCATGGGGGTGGTTAACCGGGTGAACAGCCAGGGAGCGGACAAAAGACCGAATGGGAGTACAACCAACTCGTAGTGCCTGCCTTGAAAGACAAACCTGAGATACTTGTGATGATCCGAGTGAATCGGAACATGCAGATAAGCATCCCTCAGGTCGATCGAAGCGAGCCAGTCGGCCGGCATGATCAGAGCTTTCAGGTCCGCCAAGGTCAACATTCTGAACTTGGGCGGCTTGTGCAGGTAAAACTCGTTGAACGATTTCAGATTGTGAATCATTCTGAGTTCGGCACTGTCTTTCTTGGGAACAAGAAATATCCTGGAGTAAAACCCCGGTGTTATTTCTGGTAGGACTAACTCCCGTACCGCCCTCTTCTCCACCAAAGTGCCGATGGCATCGGCAAGGATGGGAAGATCGGCTTCCGAATAGAAACCTTCCAACGGGGCGACGGTGAGCGGCGGATCCGCTTTGAGATCTAGCCGATAGCCGTACCGAATCGTGTTGACCACCCATGGGTCGTCGAACATTTGTTCCCAATTCTCCCAGTAAGTCTGGAGTCTGGCTCCGACAGGGGAAGGGAAGGGAGGCCTGACAGGCTGCGGCAGACGCAACTGTCCAGGGCTGAATGACTCGGGTTCGCCTACGGGCCAACCGAAGCTGGCGCTGTTGGCACACGAACCCTGCAAGAGAGAGTCATTTGGAGGAGCCCTTACTGTCACGAGACGGTTTAGGCTTCCCCCAGTGTCCCTTCTTCCCCCAATAGGGTGGCAGGTTGCCCTTACCGGGGCCCTCAGAGCGGACCTCAGACTTGGACTTCCCGGCCGCAGCATCCTGAGGGGCACTCCGTTTAGGGGCACCACCCAGGCGTCTGTGCAGAGACCCAACCAGATCCAACGTATGCTGCGAAGCCGCGGCAGACGAAACAGACTGCTGTTCTTTTAGAACACCAGGGATCCGATTATTAAATAGGGTCTGCGCAGACCAAGGCTGCGAAAGTAACACCTCCTGGTTGGCGGCGACAACTCAAAAAATGGCACATGCCAGAAAGAAAGGCCGAAGCCCCGGCAATGTACTCAAGGGTTGCATTCAAACCGATCAAACAGTTGTAAATGCGCTGGTCTCGGTCTGTGGGGGAACCTTCGACTAGACTGGCCGCCGCCGCCAAGTAGGTGTCGCCATGTGACATAGCGAGCATGGAGTGCCGAGAGAGAGTGTCCATCTGCTGTAAAGTCGCTTGAGTGACTGTAGCAGCAGGTGGGGCACGGACACCCAACCTCTCCACATGGGCCTCCGCGGTGGGACTTGATTCCGGGAAGGCCAAATCATGCACCTGGAACGAACCCTTTCTCCAAGACGGAGGAGGTAACGAGAGTCCCCGACCGGAGGCCGCCGCAAAGGCTTTCTCCAGAGACAGCTTGATCCCGCGCAACAAAGTTGACGCGGGAAAAGCCTTGTCGGCGGACTCGTCGAAAACCTCGGAGGAACCCACCGAGCCGTGGATTCCCCAGGGTACCGGCTGGGGACGTGGCATGTCCTCAAAGAGGTCATACACCATGGCCACACGGTCCTTAGTCGATAACGGGAGTATCGGCTCGGGGGAAGGACTGGTGACTACGGTAGCCGCCGCCGTACCCGTAGACCCCGCATCCGAACCCGCAGCCACCGAAGGGGCCGGGGATGGAACAACCAGGGCCTTATCCTGAGATAAGGCCGCCAGTTTGGAGTCCACCAATTGTGACAACAAAGCCGCGATGGAATCCCCGGACAGCCCAAGGGCCGCCAAGGGATCCGTCGCCGAGGAGGTGGTGCCCGCAATGGGCGCCCGACCGGACGAACCGGCCACCTCAGGGGTGATAGCAGAACGCACGTAGCGCCTGTATCGCTCAAAATCCTCAGGCCCCAGACCCTCGCACAGGGCGTACCGGGTGTCCTCGCAAGGGACCCGGCACCGCGGGCATCGATCGTGGGGATCCCGGGACGACAAAAACTTCTGACAAGCGCCGCAGCGCCTGCCAGCAGGAGTAGTCGGGGTGCTGGACAAATCCAATTCCATGTCAGACATTGTTCTTTGAACAAAAAGCAAAACATAGTTACAACACACACACCAAACATATTCACAAACGTAGATTTTCCGAAGAAAAACAAACGATAAAAGCGAATACATAAAATACATATATTATAGATATATATATATATATAATAATAGTTGATGCAAAAAAACAACCCACAATATACCACTAAAGGTTGACGGAAAACACAAAGTGCCGCCGCCACACCCCGTTAGTAGCGAAAAAAGGCGGGAAAATTTTCTAAGCGCCGTATAACGAACGCCCCATAAATTACAGTTTACTTAGGACTAAGAAACAGTAATAAATATCACCAAGGATAGCAGGAGGCTGGTAGAACGCAGAGCAGTCTATGGATACGTCTTGCGAAGGCAAGCGAAGAGACAAGAGTGAAGGGTGTCACATGGCAGCTAGGTGGCTACGCACGTGCTGCATGAGGTAATTGAGATCTCTGTGGAAGATTTCGCTATAAGAGCAGTTGTGGGGGACAACAGCCTCGGTATAACAGTGGTAACGTATTACTTAATGTAATTTGCAATCACTTGTAATCCATGCATCCAAGATGGGATCATCCATCCATATTTGAGTTACTATTGTCAGTCATATCTGAAAGTTGTGAAAGTAAGTACCATATACCAAGTATCATTTTATACACAGATCAGCCAATATTCTGAACAAAGCAAAGTTTAACAACTAAATAAATGAGAAAAGTACTGAACATGAACAATAAACGTATTTGAAGAAAAAGCATGTCTCCCACATTTTTTCTCCCCGAATATTGACCTCAATTTGTGATTGTTGAAAGAACAGTACATTATAATCCTTTAATCTCACTCATATGAATGAAAGTACACTACAAATGATCATTGCTAACTGTGGAAAGGAGAAAGTCTAAGGGTTAAAAAGGGTGATGAATAGGTTAGCCCATCTTCCCGAGGCAAGAGAGTTAACTGACTTTAAAAGTCCAGTTTCCACCCTTGCCGAACCAGGCTGGAATTCCAGGCTCAATACACCTCGATTGTAGCGCCACCAGTGATTATTACGAGTTATGTCCCTTCTAAGCCTCTCCTATGAACCAATCAGGTTCCACCTCTCGTGTCACTTGTTTCAAACAAAATGACGGCGCCCAGTCAAGACAATCTGATCAATAATCAAGATCTATATTGCGATAAAACGGGTCTTATCATCGCAACAAATCACATGAGCATCTTGATTAAAAACATGAAAATATCTGGAAAATATCTGTTGACAACACGTTGGCAGTGCACATGCTTTGCAAATCCTGTAATCGACCGAAATCTGCACAACAGTTTACGAAGTAGATTTTGATTTCGTTGCATGATTTTGATTGGACTATGCATAGACTGGTTAGTCCAGTCAAAATATAACTCCATAATACCAGCCTAATTCGGCAAGGGTGGAAACTGGACTTTTATAGTCAGTTAACTCCCTTGCCTAGGTGAAGATGAGGTTAGCCTTGTCGGGAACCTGTGCAGAGAACCATGACCAGGAACAGAGGCTGTTCCTGCTAGAGTACAAATGGAGGGGCAGGCTTTTTGTGATATCAAACATGTGATTTTGGAGGTTCTTGGTGCAATCAAGTGTGTAATTTTGGAGGTACTTGGTGCAATCAAGTGTGTAATTGTGGAGGTAGTTGGTGCAATCAAGAGTGTAGTTTTTGAGGTTCTTGGTGCAATCAAGTGTGTAATTTTGGAGGTAGTTGGTGCAAACAAGTGTGTAATTTTGGAGGTAGCTTGTGCAAACAAGTGTGTAATTTTGGAGGTACTTGGTGCAATCAAGTGTGTAATTTTGGAGGTACTTGGTGCAATCAAGTGTGTAGTTTTGGAGGTAGTTGGTGCAATCAAGTGTGTAATTTTGGAGGTACTTGGTGCAAACAAGTGTGTAATTGTGGAGGTAGCTGGTGCAATCAAGAGGTAATTTCCTCCAACAAGACCAGATACAGAGCCTCTCTATATAATGGACCTGTCTCTGCAGTATTTTCTTTTCAGCCTTTGAAATTGATAAGACAAAAGACTAAAGTGCAAATAAACCTTATTTACGTGCTGCTTTCGATGTTTTGAATTCAATATCTGCCTTGACAATGTTAGGAAATATCCAAATCTGCAAAGTTGTATATACTGATGAGACTTGCCCCTTAACAGCCTGAGAAATATGTCAACTACAATTGCACTGTACCTGGTAGAATTCTCTCCATGAATACACAAAACTGTTTCTCAGCAGTATGTGTTAACTCACCTAGATACTGTGGGTGTCTCTCTATCCATTCGCAGAGTTCCCCAATGAGCTGGACACTGGAATACCGGACAGCGACGTGGGCTGTATTCGGGAGTGACAACACGGCCTCTAACACCTGAGGCACTATCTCATTCTCGTCTCTGTAAAGCACATATTTAAATTTAAAATTAAAAATATTACTGCAGATAGGCAATCTCTGTAAACCATGGTGAACCACTTATCTCAAGCCCTAACTTTCATTGATCACACAAAAGGTGTGTATTACTACTTCATAAAATTGATAACATGAAACTTATTTGTCCTGTGAGAAAACTGAAAGTTCCAAGGTCTTCTTACAATTGTTTATTGCAGCTGCACAAGCAAAACTACTTACATTTAATCATAATTTTGCTTCCAGACAGACAAACAAAGACAAACATGGGAATTATTCACAGGTACACTGCCTGTTAAGAGTATGTGGAGGACGGTGTACGTACGGGAGAATATTTTTGGCGACGGCGCTCATGACGAACAAGGAGGACTCGGACAGATCCCAGGAGGATGTGGCCTGGTTCTTCAGGTTCTCAAACATCTGGGAAGAACACATAATACATTGTCAACAGTCTCTTAGAGACATTTCATCACACAGTTTCTGACTCAACAAAACGTCTCAGTTTCTAACAAAAGTAGTCTAGGAACTGTTCTCACTGTAAAGATATTAGTCAATCTTCAAAGTATCAATTACAATTTTTGTAAAGTTATCTACGTCTACAGTGATATCCCCCTGTCACCATGAATTTTAATGTATTACAGAAAATGTAGTCTCTCTTAAGACCCCAGAACATATCCTTTCTCATTAAACAATCACCCAAAGCCATTCTCATCCCCTTCTCAGCTCTAGTGGCCTAAAGTCATCTCTTCTTCACCTCAGACCTAACTGCATCTTAATACTCAAGGGTTCCTTTATAGAATTGTTTTAAAGTTTTATACTGGGGATGATATGTTACAGTTTACAGGAATTGAACAGAAGTAAACGTGTTTTAGCACATCAATCATGTCTTTGCTTACAGAGGAAGCAACGCACCAGTATGACTATATGTACAGTTGCATGTTAGTCCACAAGATCACATATGATGCTAACATGCAACTGTGAGAAACAATTGAAACAGCGTGTGCAGCGGTCATTGTTACCTGTGAAAAGCAGGACGAGGACCCAACAATGAATACTACATCTTTGATGAGCTCAGACACTCGGAGACGGAACTCCCCAAAATCTCCCGTGTCATCTGGAACCCCTTCCTGCAAGAGATATCCCACAAACTGAACAACAAATATCACTATAACAAAGAACTTGACAAAGAGTCTATCAAGCGAGGTTAGGTGAAATGGTAAATCAGACACAGTACAGTGATTCAGAGCCAATCAGTCCTTGTTTTAGCCACATTAATGCCGAGCGTCAGGCAGAGTAACAACAAGTACCATCTTCTAATGTCCTTTGGTATCGAACTCAATCAAATGAAATGTAATCATTATAATGTTCAAGCAAATACTTATGCTAAAGTTCTTGAATGAAAATCATGAATTAAGTTAAAATAAACAGTAAATTACTGATATTAACATGATTAAGATGAACACATTGAAACGGATTTGTAATGAAGAAACAAAATTCTTAATGATGCCACAATGCATGAGAAATAACACTAATATGTCCGAGCCTTAGTGCAGACAGTCTCACACTGTGAGTGAAAATGGTTCAAATCTAAGAGTGTGAGATCAACTAACATGATCGGGTTCCATCTGACAATGCCGTGATAGTGCTACAATCAGTCTCTGGATGTAGGGCTTGAATATTTCATTCATGTCGACTGAGTTCAGCTGATACAGCTCCTCTGACAGTCGGTACCAGAAGTTAAAGGTGATCTCGGCAACCTGGATGAAGAGCAAACAAATAAAACCAGTCTGTGCCTCAAACGTTTAAGTATATAGACCATGTAAACAGAGCCTTAAAAGCTCTCCATGCTAATATAGGGGCTATCATAAGCTCTGCATACAATACATTTTAGTAGACTCACGATTTGCACTAGTGGCACTAATCAACAGTCTGTCACAATAGGAGCTAACATGTGACATGAGGAACAAACATTTTACACGAGGACCCAGCATGTGACACTAGGACCCAGTATGTGACAATAGGACACAGTATGTGACACTAGGACCCTACATGTGACACTAGGACCCAGTATGTGACACTAGGACCCAGTATGTGACAATAGGACACAGTATGTGACAATGGGACACAGCCTGTGACAATAGAACCCAACATGTGACATTAGGCCCCCGATCATGATAAAAATGTATCCAACATGTGAATGAGGGCTAAACATGTGACACTAGGCCTAACATGTGACATTATGTCTCTGTTTGTGACAATAGGACCCAACATGTGACACTAGGACCCTACATGTGACACTAGGACCCTACATGTGACAATAGGACCCAACATGTGACAATAGGACCCTACATGTGACTAGGACCCTACATGTGACAATAGGACCCTACATGTGACTAGGATCCTACATGTGACAATAGGACCCAGCATGTGACACTTGGACCCAGCATGTGACACTAGGACCCTACATGTGACACTAGGACCCTGCATGTGACACTAGGACCCTACATGTGACACTAGGATCCTAAATGTAACACTAGGATCCTACATGTGACACTAGGACCCTACATGTGACACTAGGATCCTACATGTGACACTAGGACCCTACATGTGACACTAGGATCCTACATGTGACAATAGGATCCTACATGTGACACTAGGACCCTACATGAGACACTAGGATCCTACATGTGACACTAGGACCCTACATGTGACACTAGGATCCTACATGTGACACTAGGACCCTACATGTGACACTAGGATCCTACATGTGACACTAGGATCTTACATGTGACATTAGGACCCTACATGTGACACTAGGACCCAGCATATGACACTAGGACCCTACATGTGACACTAGGACCCTACATGTGACACTAGGATCCTACAATTTGACACTAGGACCCAGCATGTGACACTAGGACCCTACATGTGACAATAGGAACAAGTATGTGACACTACGAGCGAACAGGTACACTAGGGGCAAACAGGTACAGTAGGACAATAGACATGTGACAATAGAACTCAGCATGTGACAAAAGGACCAAACATGTGACACTAGGAACAAGCATTTGACACTACGACCCAGCATGTGACACTAGAAACAAGCATGTGACACTACAACCCAAGATGTGACAGTAGGTTTGTTGTTTGTTTGTTTGTTGTATAACGCCACACTCAGCAATATTCCAGCTTTATGACGACAGTCTGTAAATAACAGAGTCTGGACTAGACAATCAAGTGATTGACATCATGAGCATGGATCCACAATATTGGGACACACAGCAAACCAAGTCAGCGAACCTGACCACCCGATCTTGTTAGTCGCTTTTTACAGCAAGCATGGGTTGCTGAAGACCTAGGACCCAGCATGTGACATTAGGACCCAGCATGTGACACTATGACCCCGCATGTGGCATTAGGACCCCAAATTTGACACTAGGACCCCGAATATGACACCTGGACCCAACATGTGACAGTAGGACCCAGCATGTGACATTAGGCCCCCCAAATGTGACAACAGGACCAGCATGAGACACTTGGACCACAAATGTGACACTAGGGCCCAACACGTGACACTTGGACCAAACATGTGACTCTAAGAACAAGCATGACACTAGGTTGGTTGGTTGGTTGGTTTGTTGTTAAACGCTGCACTCAGCAATATTCCAGCTATATGACGGCGGTCAGTAAATAATCGAGTCTGGACCAGACAATCCAGTGATTAATATCATGAGCATCGATCCACGCAATTGGGACCGATGGCATGTATCAACCAAGTCAGTGAGCCTGACCACCCGATCCCGTTAGTCGCCTTTTACGACAAGCATAGTCGCCTTTAACGGCAAGCATGGGTTGCTGAAGACCTATTCTACCCCGGAATCTAAAACGGGTCGCATGACTCTAGGACCCAACATGTGACACTAGTCTTCCACATGTAACACAAGGACCACGCATGTGACACTTGCACCCAACATGTGACACTAGGACCGAACATGTGACATTAAGACCCCACATGTGACACAAGGACCCCGCATGTGACACAAGGACCCTGGATGTGACACAAGGAACAAGCATGACACTAAGACCTAACATGTGACATTAAGACCCCACATGTGACACAAGGACCCCACATGTGACACAAGGACCCTGGATGTGACACAAGGAACAAGCATGACACTAAGACCCAACATGTGCCATTAAGACCCCACATGTGAGACAAGGACCCCGCATGTGACACAAGGAACAAGCATGACACTAAGACCCAACATGTGCCATTAAGACCCCACATGTGAGACAAGGACCCCGCATGTGACACAAGGAACAAGCATGACACTAAGACCCAACATGTGCCATTAAGACCCCACATGTGAGACAAGGACCCCGCATGTGACACAAGGACCCCGCATGTGACACTAGGACCCGGCATGTGACACTAGGAACAAGCATGACACTAAGACCCAACATGTGACATTAAGACCCAACATGTGACACAAGGACCCCGCATGTGACACTAGGAACAAGCATGACACTAGGACCCAACATGTGACACTTGCACCCAACATGTGACACTAGGATCCAACATGTGACATTAAGACCCAACATGTGACACTTGCACCCAACATGTGACACTAGGATCCAACATGTGACATTAAGACCCAACATGTGACAATAAGACCCAACATGTGACACAAGACCCCTGCATGTGACACTAGGAACAAGCATGACACTAGGATCCAACCTGTGAAGCTTGGACCCAGCATGTGATAGCATGTGCAATCTTGACACCATATCACAAAGGGTGATATCCAGATTACTAAAACCTTGTTTAACAAGGATAACATATTTTCCATAATTCCCCTTGACATATAAATAATGGTCCACAATGTCACCTCATAAGATCATAACGTTCTGACACATCACCTCAAGTACCTGTACATTATCCTACTTGGTTCAGCTGGAGTGAGTGAGTCTGGTTTGACACTAATATTCCAAGAATATAACAGCTGGAGACATTAAAAGTAGGATTGAACCATTGAATTCTTGCAAGTAATCAAACCAGAGTTATCAGCTTGACAAGCCACTGCTTTAACCACTGAACTTTAGGCTATCTTGAGCAACAGGACCAGGTCATAACATTGCAAACTGTCAAATAATAATGTTACCTCGTACAAATGATGGCCGACACAGGTTAACAAAAGTTCCAACGTTCTAAAATCCCCAAGAGCCTGAAATAATAAACAACATCATTGAAAAACACCAGTCAGGAAACACCACAAAATTATCATAAACAATTCTCTTACATGTACTGTTTTAATGTAGTCTTTGAAAGAATGGGAAAATAGGAATTTCAATAGATAACAATAGCTACTGTTTCAAAGAAGTAGTTTCACAGTCACTTGTTATTCTTACCTGATTAGGTGTGGAAACAATAGATTCTAAAAATGATTCTGCCATTTCTGTAAATATCCTGCAGTAGTTGACTGACCTGGAACACAAATCATCAGGGTATTAGGCCCAGTTTCAACCACTGTCCTTCCACCCTACACAGCAGGAAGTCACGGTTTTACATTTTCTATCACTTAAATGCTGCGAAGGATTTAATACATCCAAATATTGCTACCAGAAGCTCATCATCAAGCAGTGATTGTATTCCATTACAAGAATATGAATTGATAGTATCATATCCTACGGTAATCAGTCTGACAGTCAATAATCACAAGACCCTTGTCGCCACAACAAGTCCCAACCTGACTGTCAAAGGGGAAGCGTTCAAGAAGGGAAGTTTGTAACCATATTAAAGACACATATCTTCCATAATGATGATGATACATGTCTCACCTAGCATTGTTGATTTAGTGAAAGATATGGCATAACAACCCAGTGACAAAATGCAGGCTCATGGCACAATTGTTTGCAGCTAGGTCCGTTTCCTAGGTTGTCACCAATCGTATTCTTCCTAGCGTGCTGTTCCAGACACAGCTGCTACATTGTCTACCAATAGTCTATTTTAGTCAACCATGAATCACTGAGTGATCCATACTACTCCACTTGGTATATTAATATACATACTTTATAGCAAATGGAGTTTAGTAAAACATATGCACTGACTTGTCGGAATCCTCGTCCGCCACGGAGAGATGGTAGGCGGTGGGCAGAGTAAGGACTCCTTCAAACAGGTGCTGGGCCATCTGGGGATTCTTCGACAAACTCTGAAAACATACAGTACTTAACCAGTCAGGGGGGCCTCTTTGGGATGTGGATTTACAATTTCTACTACAGCACCCGTTTTTTTGCGTGCGTGGGCAAAGTCACTGAAGCGCGTGTAAAAGGACTTTGAATATCCTGTGTATTGGTGTCACTTTGCGGCCTTCATTACCACCAGGAGACTTGTTTAGCCAATAGGTGGCCGTGGTCTGTGCGGTTAGAGGCTGAATGCGGAAACATGAGAAGAAGACGTGTGTGTACTTGAATGTGTGTGATTTAAAACTGACATGTTGCACTATCAGGATTGTTTGTTTGAAAATTATTACGTGAACTTCACAAGTTTAGTGGTTTATCTATTCATCATAGCACACAATGAATGGTCTATGATTCAATAGGACATTCAGTAGATGTTGAGAGTTCACATTATGAGTGTGAGCATTTCCTATATCAATTAGCAGCTGATTAGTTATTTCATCCACGTCATGGAACAGTTAAGGCATATCGTTTTGATCGTTTATTTCAGGATGGTAAAAATAAAAGTCAACAGAAGAAATCAGTAGCCTGTTGTCTTGCTTTATGAAATATGTAGTCCAACCAAATATTGATGTTCATTCTGTAATCATGTTCACATGTCATCATAAGTCTGATAGCTCCATTATTAGTGAGCACGAACAGTAATAATTATGGGATACATCAGCAGTCACAAAGAGGACCATGTGTTTCTGGCGGGTATTTGTAGGAAGTTCACTGCGTGTGTTATGTCAACAATATGTTGCAAATGCTACAGTTTAAACTATAGCAATTGCAGTAATAATAACATCAAGTATAAAAATAAATGGAGAAGAAAAACATGATTTTATTCAATGACAATGACAGATTGTTTACGTCCTTGTCCGTTATCGACGGACCGGAATTTTTACCCGTTTTTTTACCCGGGCATGAATTCCATTGGTTGGTCGATCGATTGAGCCACACCTGCAGGATTCAAGTTTTTGTTTTGTATATATTCTTTACCCGCTCCCACAGCACGAGTCTATGGTTTTTGGACGTCCATCTCATATTTTTCTTCATCTGAATACAATTCTTAGTGTCAGGTAAATCTTTACAATGGTGCCATGAAATTGAATCTTTTCGTCAGAACTTGTGTGCTGCTATCGCGATAACATAAAATAGGAGTAGTGCACTTTTCCATGCGCACCTTTTCGGATTTCAATTAACTCACGGGGCCAGCTTGAAGCGAAGCTTGGCTTGGCCAATGAGTTAATCTTATTAGCCAACGCTTTACTGACAATTAATAGTGCTCGACAAGCAGTACCCGATTGTTTACCTTAATGCACATGCGCAGTAGACATTTTCACCTTTTTTACTGCTGAAGAGTTTATTCCTTGTCTTCCAACCACACTTGACACTTAACAGTGCTTATCATTCCTGCTGAACATTCTTTACCTTTCCACGCCTCTCTTTCGTTAGTAACAATTGAACACTACATATGAATAGCAGCATATAAAACAGAATGCTTTATCTGGGGTGTTTTACAGGTGCAGCAGGGCCTAATGTCATATGCAATCAATACACAATATTTTCATACATCACTCCTCAAGCAGCAGTTACAGAACTCACTTATCCATCATTCATCATTTAACGTCAGCGGTTCTATGTTTCCGTATGTCACTACTGTGGATTACAGACTGACAAATTGCACTGAAGGATGTACAACACACTTCTACATCTTCAGTTGGCTACATATAAAAATATTCATAAATCTATATAAAACCAATCACATCCAAAGTAGTATTAAGTTTTTCTCAAAGATGAACTTTTAACAAGCATCAAGGATTTTGAAAAGGGTCGTGATGTTGATCAGGAATCCTCATTCAAAGTTCACTTTTGATGAATAAATGAGAAACTACATGCAGAAAAGATGATGTGAAACAATATATATGAGTGAGTGAGTGAGTTTGGTTTTACGCCATATTCCAGCAACATGATGGTGGGGCTTCACACATTGTATACATGTTGGTAATCAAAACTGGATCTTCAGCGTGATGAGCGAACACTTTAACAACGAGGCTACCCGACCGCCCCATATAATATATATGAGGGGATATGGTAACCGCAACTACCCTTTATACCAATGCATGACTACCAGTCATGGAGTACTCACCTCAGTGCAGTACAGAGCGGAACACACACAATCTGTGGCTGCCTCATGGAGGGGAGATGGACACTCTCGACTTGCCTGTCAAACATAAACCGCTCATACAACACAAATCTTAGCAAAACTTTAATGAGGGACCATGTTTTTAGATTCCATAAGGAAGTGACTCCTCTGAATGAGTAATGGAATGATTATTGAGGCCTGTACATGATAATGTTGGTCTGTGCAAACAATCTCAATAAAATCATTGTCACAGTGTGTGGGTGGTATTCTCAGGGGAAAAAGAAAACAAATTATTGACAAATCACTGACAGTCTGTAGTGGTATTATCAAGAACAGATATTGCTGACACTTTTCAATCTCATTAACATCAGATCTGACTTCTCGCTACCACTATGCAAAGATCTGAGGAGACGTCATTAAGGGTCACATCAGAAAGACCTTTTATCCGGCCAATGAGGGCATTGTTACGAGATCAGGAAAGTGACAGTCAGAATGTGGTTTCTTATCATGCAAGGTTAACACAGGGCATTTCTAAAAACAGTTATGGGCTGTATGACTCATCATCGCCCATCTCTCACTTCAGTGGGATAAACATTTGAAACGGAAACGACTTTGCACAGCCAGTATGAGTACTGATATACAATCGCTGCAGTCAATTAAACATTCCAGAATTATTTTGGTTTTTAAAATCTTGAATTAATATATTTCAAAGCTTAGTTTTGAATGGAAGTCGCCAGCTGAAACTAGTGCCTTATCGTGCTAATAGTTCTATTCATTAATAGTCATTTCACTGGTTGGTAAAGTTTGTGAAAGGTTGATCTGGTGTGACCTGTAATGGGATGTCCTCAGATCTTTGCATAGTGGTAGCGAGAAGTCAGATCTGATGTTAATGAGATTGTCCAAGAAAACCAATTGCATGACAAAACCATAAGGGAATAATGACACAATCTTCCTTGTTACACACTGGAACCACCGGATATAAGTTTGCCCTTATGGTTTGCATTGGTTGCCGAGGACCTATTCTGACTTGACATCGTAACGGGGGAAGCATATCAATGTGTTATTCTGTAACACAGAACCCATTTTCCTTAAACATCAATGAAACCATCTATTTTCCCTTCCAACTATGTTGATCAAAATAATCAAGTGCTTGAGAAGCCCAGGGCCTTATCCAGGGATGTACACTCCCCACCCACTCCTCTCTCCTTCCCTACCACCCAACCCCGCCCACACTTCAGCCAACACCCAAGTGCCTGGAATGGCGCCCCACCCCTGCTTGTGACAACTCTCAAGTGCCTGGAATGGCGCCCCACCCCTGCTTGCGCCAACTCCCAAGTGCCTGGAATGACGCCCCACTCCTGCTTGCGCCAACTCCCAAGTGCCTGGAATGACGCCCCACCCCTGCTTGTGCTAACTCCCAAGTGCCTGGAATGGCGCCCTGCCCCTGCTTGTGCAAACTCCTAAGAGCCTGGAATGGCGCCCCGCCCCTGCTTGTGCCAACTCCCAAGAGCCTGGAATGGCGCCCCGCCCCTGCTTGTTCCAACTCACCAGTGCCTGGAATGGAGCCTGCAGGAGTTTAGTGTTGAGGATGCTGTCACTGGGGATAGCGCCGACACTGAACCAGCTCCCAAGTACCCGGAACACTTTGGCCTGGACCCGGTGGTTCCCCTCCACGCTGTCGACACAGGCAGCCTGCACACAAACACACACAATATACACAAGGGTGAAACATAGCAGCAGTAATCAAGATCCATACAAAGTATACAAATAATATTAATATCGAACTTGGGTCTTCAGAGTGACAAGCGAACGCTTCAACCACTAGGCAACCCCACTGCTCCTTCAAGGTAATGACCGACAATATGAAGATTACAGCATATTACTTAAAGACCATATGACCTCCTGCATAAGGAGGTATGGGACCTCACCAGTAGCTGTATGACTAAAGGGCAAGACTTCCCCAGCTCCTCCGTGATCTCTGTTCTTCTGTTTGCCCCAAGACGGAGGGAGCGGCTATTGATCTGGAAAATACATTCAGAATTGCAGCACGATATTCCTTGTTTCGCAAAATAATCATATTTCAGACTCAATAATAATGCTGCACATGGAAGCAAATATTGGTCATACACAATCATCATGCAAATATGAAATAGACCTGGTGTATATCTTGCATATATATATAGATCTGATACATTCATCTTGCTAATTCATCACATAGACCGGTTATGCATCTGGCTACTACCATCATACAGTTAAGGTATGCATCTTGCTACTATCATCATACAGAAAAGGAATGCACCCAATTACTAGTCATACACACAAGGAATGCATCCAGCTACTAATCATACAGACCAGGAATCCATCAGGCTACTAATCATACAGACCAGGAATGTATCCAGCTACTAGCCATACAGACCAGGAATCCATCAGGCTACTAATCATACAGACCAGGAATCCATCAGGCTTCTAATCATTCAGACCAGGAATGCACCCAGCTACTAGTCATACAGACCAGGAATGAATCGAGCTACAAGCCATACAGACCAGGAATCCATCAGGCTACTAATCATTCAGACCAGGAATGCACCCTGCTACTAGTCATACAGACCAGGAATCCATCAGGCTTCTAATCATTCAGACCAGGAATGCACCCTGCTACTAGTCATACAGATCAGGAATGAATCGAGCTACTAGTCATACAGACCAGGAATCCATCAGGCTACTAATCATAAAGACAAGGAATGCATCCAGCTACTAGTCATACACAGAAGGAATGCATCCAGCTACTAGTCATACAGACCAGGAATGCATCCAGCTACTAGTCATACAGACCAGGAATGTATCCAGCTACTAATCATACAGACCAGTAATGCATCTGGCTACTAATCATACAGACAAGGAATGCATCCAGCTACTAGTCATACACACAAGGAATGCACCCAGCTACTAGTCATACAGACCAGGAATGCATCCAGCTACTAGTCATACAGACCAGGAATCCATCAGGCTACTAATCATACATCCCAGGAATCTATCAGGCTACTAGCCATACACACAAGGAATGCATCCAGCTACTAGTCATACACACAAGGAATGCATCCAGCTACTAGTCATACAGACCAGGAATCCATCAGGCTACTGGGGGCACGGGTGGCCCAGTCGTCTAAGGCGCCGCAATTTCGCTGTGCAGAGTTGCGTCCCTTGGGCACGCCAGAAACCTATGATTGTGGGTTCAAATCCCGGTTCGCCCCAATTATGTTTCTAGGTTTGTCAGCACCATACCCGTGCTCGTGGGTTTCACCGAAATGGTAAACGTCTGAGACCTGCATCACTTTGGGCTTTCCTCTGTACTATCATTACACAGACTGTGTATGGCTTCTATCATCACACAGACTGTGTATGGCTACTATCATCATACAGACTGAGTATGGCTGCTATCATCACAGAGAGTAGGGCTACTATCATCATACAGACTGAATATGGCTACGTTCATCACACAGACTGTATGGCTACTATCATTACACAGACTGAGTATGGCTACTATCATCACACAGACTGGCTACTATCATCACACAGACTGAGTATGGCTACTATCACACAGACTGGGTATGGCTACTATCATCACACAGACTGAGTATGGCTACTATCATCACACAGACTGGGTATGGCTACTATCATCACACAGACTATGGTTACTATCATCAAACAGACTGTATGGCTACTATCATCACAAAGACTGGGTTTGGCTACTATCATCACAGACTGAGTATGGCTACTATCATCACACAGACTGGGTATGGCTACTATCATCACACAGACTATGGTTACTATCATCAAACAGACTGTATGGCTACTATCATCACAAAGACTGGGTATGGCTACTATCATCACAAAGACTGGGTATGGCTACTATCATCACAAAGACTGGTTATGGCTACTGACCTCTTCAGGCATGACTGTGAGAACCTCCAGCAGGAATGGAAGTTGCTGCATGTTTGAGCCAAATCTGAAGATAACAGGCAGTTGTAAAGCATGCTGAGTGTCATGTAGATATACTATGTAACCACACAACCACAGGGCAAGCCCACTGTTCCTTTCAATACATGTTTCATTACCCAGCATTAATACAATATCTTATCCCTATTCCCCCATTAAGAATCGCCACATCTGACTTAATTCATACACATGATATAAGAATAAAAATAACTGGGAAAACATAACACTACTTCCTCGTGTTCTTATACCAGCAGTAGTTGTGTAGTGAAACACCTGGACAAGTTTTGTTTGCTGTTTCATGCCTCTATTCAGCAATATTCCACCTGCAAGTAGGCAGTCCAGTGATCAATAGTGTGGGCAACGATCCAAACCGTCAGGACATCTGAATGTGATGAATGTTTTTCAACTCCATAGATACAGATTTCCCTACAGCCTCGTACTATTGCTGACTGACACATCTCCCTGTACTGTACAATACCAAGCTTCACTTACTTCTGAATGAGATCTGAGACAGCATCCTTCCATGTGGCCATCTCCAGGGCGAGGTCGGCCAAGGCCAAGCTAAGCTGCAATGACAGGTTGTGTTGTATGCTATAGCTGTCCACATTGTAGTTCACTCTGATCTTAATCATTCTTACAAACTAAACACCAACTGTACCTACTACCTTAAACATCACAGTGAAGATTATGCAGATTAGACATGTTATTCACTGCAAATGACAATGACAATCTCATTAATATCCAATGTGTGTGATTGTTACTACTACACATACATCTAAGAACATCCCAATACAGCTCAAGGCCTTTCGCGAACTTTGACCAACAAGAAGTGAATAAGCTTGGTGAAACTGGAACTGAAGTTTCAGCAAGTAACACTAAATGGGATATCACATTCCTTCCAACATTCCTTGAAAATATAAAGACAGTTAGCACACTCACCTGTGTAACAATAACAGCCGGTGTCTCGGGGGTAATCTTCCCAGCATGCTCTAGTAGTGAGTCTCGCAGCGACTATTAACCAACATTAACAGAAACATGACATTTGATCGGCGACTGATCTTATCCAGGAAGTAAACATTGCCATGGCCAGAGCATGCTGGATACATCCATCTTTTAACACTTACATGCTAATTCACCAATGGACCTCATAGCTTTCCGCTGATCTTTGCATTATTTTTACGTCTTTATTGGCAAATAATTAATGAGAAACACTTTATGTAAAACCAGATAAAATGTTCTGTTCACATGGTACAATTTCAGAGGGAAACTAAAATAAACACTGAAATATTATGAAGACAATTGTTGAGGCAATGAGGCTGCAAGACCATGCAACACAGGCTAGGTTTGTGTGTATATATATCAACAGATATATTTATCACTACATGGCTGTTTATCATTTTGAATTTGTTTAAAACAATGTCATTTGGGCACTGGGGTTCACTGAATAATAAAGCAGTTATGTTTTTAAATCATGAATATATTTTTATTACATCATCGTCTACAGTACCAGTAACCATCAGGGTAACAGGGGGGATAACTGTAAATGAATGAACTTAACATACTCAAATCTCATTTTTATCCACTTCAAATCAGTCTTTGCAAAACAATGACTTTAATTCAGGTCTGCAAAAGGCAAATTATGACCAACAGTTCAACCCAACTTAACTAGGACATCTCATTGGTCCAATCCACCCACAAGTTACGTTGCAAGCAACAGAGGATCTTGTATCCTTGATGGCGAACTAATGAAACTATACCTGGTGTGAGGCCTGAGGCAGTTCATGAAAGGCATACTGGATCTGAAAGTGAAATGCACAAGTGAAAAATCTTTTGTGGAAGCAAGTGAAATGGTTCAAGCTAAAATCTCTCCCGATACTGTATTTACGCACACACAGCGAGCCTGACAGACCGATCCCATTAGTCGCCTTTTATGACAAGCAAAGTCATCTTTTATGGCAACCATGGGTTGCTGAAGACCTATTCTACCCCGGATCTTCATGGGTCTTTGGCCAGTATTGTAATACCAGTATTGTGTAACAGCATTAATCAATACTAAAACTAACATATAGTAAGCATGGTAAGTATATACCTGATTATATAAGTTATTTGGAAGCAATATTAAATGTCAAATACTAAATTTTTTTGGGAAGCTAGCCATACCCTCTGATAATGAAAAACTAAATTTCAGTTATCAACCACATGACTGTAATGGTTATGATTCACTTTGTCAAGATACAATACATGATCTTTATACATAATGGTTTGTACATAGAATACGAGACAAGCTCCCCTGTATTACCAATTTTATGAAACGAGTGAATAGTTCTGGTATCTGATGAGTGGTATTACACGGGAGCTTGTTTAGTATTTTATTTATTACTTATCGTTTATAATTATTTGTTTTTAATTTTACTGTCGTTTGTGAATAGGCAGACATCGAGTGTGCATAAGCTCCTCTCAGTGATCTTTCATCTCTATATGCAATGTCACCGAAAAAGCCCCGGGATGCTTGGAGTTTTCAATATTTGTTAGTGAAACTTGTTCCCATAGTACATAACCACACACTTTGTATTACACAGTGTAATACAGCTGTATGTTTATTAAACGAGTGATCTCTTCACAGGTGAGTAATAATGTATTTTATCACATGTAACCTCATAGCCATGATCATGATGATGACTAATTTTCAACAATCTCAAGCCTAACCTTTTGGAGTTTATATAATTTACAAATCTGCCCCTAGTGTTATCTTGCAAGTGATGGTATCCCTAATCAATGCATCAATACACTGACATATATTATTTTCTAAATGTGGATAATAAACTTACATTTCAACATCTACTCAGCATCTGGGCAAGCAACATTTTCTGGCCTGAATTCACATTTTGAAACTAGCTACCACAGAGTATGAACAGTATTAAGAAGAAGAAGAAAAAGAAGATTTTTATCTAAGTGTCACACATTGTACAGCATAGAAATTGCGACATAGTTTGGGTAGATATGTGTACACACTAATGTCATTCAAATGCGTAAAACATTTACAGTTTAAAAGAAAACACTATAAGTGAGTAAAAGAAAGGGGAAAAAAGTGACATCGGTGCAGGCAGGCTCAGTCCCCCAAACCCAAGTCTGCATGTCCTCCTGTGTATCCACTCATACCTGCAAACATGCATCCTCAACCACCTAACTTACTTACACAATTATCTCACTATATCTCGCCAACCCTTGTAAGTTGTATCCCCACACACGCATGCACACACACTATATAATTACATCACTATCTATAACTGTACAAAAATTAAGATTAAAATCTCATTTATCATTATTAGCATTTAACATGCTTCATACAAACATCACCTTGACTAATACAAAAAACATAGCTGTGACAAGGATGTAGTATATATAGGAAACTTGACATTACTAATAAACCATGCATACTGACCTTTGTCCTCATTGTCTGAGCTGCAAAGTAGCATGATTCTAGGGACTGATTAAGGCGCAGTAGTTGATCAGCTATCTGCCAGGCAAATACCTGTAAAAACACAAAATATGGCATACTGAGGATGCAAAACTGAAATAAATTATATAATGTTTCATGCATTCATCAAAATGTAATTGAATTTGTTCAAAATCACAAGCTCTATCGCAACAGCAAGTCCAATGATTAAGTCACATATTCCACTTTTCCAACCAGAACAAAAAGGGGATGCAACTTGGCACTAGCCTGGTTGCCAAAGTCATTTGGCTTAATGTTAAAGGTACAGTGTATATCAAGGGCCAGTAGAATTCCAGGCTCTTTAGGGGTGTCCTTATGTACGCATTCACTATTTGGGCTGGAAATGTTTCAGGTTAAGTTGAATCCCTGACAATAGGGAGTCATTTATGTATATCAAAATTAGCTTGACATTGAACACAATGAGAAAAGTGTGACGGTAAGAATTAACGGAACCACATAAAAGTCTGCACCAAAAGCTTTTGAGACTACAAGCTCAAACATGGCTTTTAACATAACTTTTTATTTATCTTAGTGTAATGTTACTTTTACTAGCTCAGCTTACTTGACTGAACAGAATGTTACATGATTTAGGCTTTGGGCTACTGGCTAAAATTGCAGACAGATAAAACATTTAACATCATGCAAAATTATTGGGAACCCAGAGCCCTTGAATTTTATTCATTTTGCATGTTTAGTGTCTGAATCAATCAAAAGTAGTATATCCCTTTAGGAAATTAGGATAATGACATAAGCAAAAGTGAGCATGATCACGTAGTCAAAGACATATGCATTAATTAACACCTGTCAGAAGTTAAATATGTTTTGCCGTGTCTATACATCATGGACTAACAGTAGCTTTTCTTGGTAAGAGTTTGACCTAGGTCAAGGGAGTTAAGTGGTGAGTCACAAAGTAAAACTCAAGCCATTGGTAATCCCTCTGTCAGTCCTCTCTGAAATTTTAATGTCTACAGAGGAGATTAAATTCAGTGAGTCAGTGAGTTGGGTTAAAACGCTGTTTTTAACAGTATTCCAGTTATATTGCGGCGTGTCAGCTTAATGTGGAAGGAAAGCTAGAAGTGATGAAGGTCTTAAACATTTACCACTTCGGTGAAACCCACGAGCACGGGTATGGTGCTGACAAACCTAGAAACATAATTGGGGCGAACCGGGATTCGAACCCACAATCATAGGTTTCTGGATTGCCCAAGGGACGCAACTCTGCACAGCGAATCGCAGCGCTTTCGACGACTGGGCCACCCGTGCCCCCAGATTACATTCAGAAGTTGGAACTCTCTTCATTCGTACCAAATTATAATTCCATTATAACATGAACAAAAAACTAGTACTGGATGTTTCGAATAAACCATTAAGTCATATCCAGTAAACATGGTAAAAAACAAGACAAGAACCATATTTTCATGTGTATAATGAGAAACTACGGGTACTCTTTTTTCCGTGCCATTGTCATGATTGTGATCATAATATTTTACATTACAAGGCAGTGGAGATGACTCCACGAGATTACGACTCCACAGTTTGGGTTGGTGATAATTCTGTCAAACACGTGATAATCAAATGGTTTTCGCTATGTTTCAACATGTTCTGGATCTTTTTCAAGTGTCAGTGTCATATCACCCTCTTGGTACAAACTTCATTCTGTCTTGCAATGCATGCACCTGTATACACCATGTACAAATGATACAAAGCTTTTCTTCAGATAGATTTGAATAGCTGTGGGCTAAATGACCAAACACCATGATCATGATCATGATCACGAAAAGTGTAATTGTTCATAAGTTAATATCATTGCTGTGCTACACCAAAGACCATAACATTTATTTTATGGTCTCTGACTACACAACAAAAGTGTCATAGCAGCAATAGAAACTAACGTTTTTAGTCCACTAGTCCTTATAATGAAAACATACAGCAATACCCTTATAATATGGCAAATTTCTACTAGTCCTTACGATACGAAACAATAGGACTACAGGACTAGTACCAATTTCTAACACTAGTCGTAGTACGAAAATGAAAACAATATTAATCATCGGATCATTAAACACATGAACATGTTCTATCATTTTGAGGACTGTGAGGATGCACTGTGTATATCAATTCAGTAAACAGGTAAACATTCATTAATTTAAATCTGACAGTAAACAAGAGTGCCTCCCATAACCATAACTCCTGTATCCACTACTTGGCGGACAAAGCAGACTCTGTCATATTTATTGATCATCCTCTAGTAGTATCGGTTTTGAAGAGGTAATAAAAAAATTATGGTTTTACCATATTTACTGTGCACAACTGCATATTTATTTTATGTAATTTTCATGTGAAAAAGGGATGCGGTAAACTCACAGACACAACCAAATTTGTAGACACAATTTAAGGTGAACTCGAAGACAAACCGGGAGTGATTTCATAGACACATTTGTTTTTAATATTGGAATTGAATGATAATATTAATACTGAGCGGAATATTAACCACGGGAACTCACTATTGGTCTGTGAATAAAAACTATATACCTCCACAATGGCCCTCATATATGTAAGTACATTCATATAACCATGATAACAGGGTATATATTTTAACAATTATGGCTAGTATTAGTATTTCTTTTGTGGGAGCCTTTGTAAATACCTTTCATAAATAAATAATCTGGTAAGTATATATATCCAAGGTGAGAAGGACAAGCAGATCATTTGGTAAATGGTGAGTGGATAAAAGATTAAACAACCGTTTGATCATCAAGTCAGGTCATCATGGTCATAATTCATCAAGTATTTGATGTTAAAAAAGATTTGAAATACACATGATACACTTGCCACAAAATATTTCAATATGATATGTAACAAATCAATATTTAAGTCTGTCCCAACTTTATCTGTTTTGTCTACGAGGTCATTGTGTATTTTGTCTACGAGTTGGGAGTGTCCACAAATTCTCCATGGCTACGAATTAGTTTGCTAATTCACCTACAGCCTGTTAAAAACCACATGTCCTTAGAAGTTCAAGCTGCTAGATCCCAAACCATACTTCTAGCTTCATCATCAGGAGTTAGATATGAAGCATTCGCTATTGAGATGCTGAGGGTTAGACATGGAGAAAATATATGAAGATTATTTGCCAGATACAGAGCTAGCATCCTTGCAGAATAAGGCCCACAAAATTGAATGGCTTTCGAATAGTATTTACTTGTGATTAATGGGGAAATCGTTCATCTACGTAGTTCTTGGTATCTATTTTACAGTAATCTGTGGGCGTTGCGATGTGTGATCAGGGAAAATTGGCTTCAGTGTGCTACGACTCTCAGTCACCAAACTTATCATCCGAACCATGCCAACCACCCGCACGTAACATTTTCGCATGGAATTTTTGCACTTACAGATCTCTGAAGCTCTCCAAGCCAAACTGAAGCCTTTTCTTTTCCCACAACATCAGGATTGTTATAAAGTGCTTGTAAAGCTTGATTTACAGTATCTAAGGTCGGCGCTTGCTCCATTTTATAAGTAAAATACTCTATTTCGTTTGCAAAACCATCGAACTTTTCTCTGGCGAAGTTCTTCTGACCGGAAATAGTGCCCAGGTAGCAGTATCGGGCGCGCAGTATCGCATATCGTATTTGGCAAAATTTAGTAAATCAAAAGGTTAATTTGGAAATGAAAATGAAGAGTATATTGAACACTTCATTGCCATTGCAGATTAAAATTGTTTGTTTCATTTTTCAAAAATATTCACCCCGTGACAGTGCAGGTCCTTCACCTTCGTTAGTAAACACTCGTGCTCCTCCCCTATGAGACTGACTCAACCGGGATATACACTTCCACGTTATGTTTAATTTGACCAACGCATAATTCACAGGAACATTTGATAGAGATACATTGGTGCCATGGACGCCGACGGTCTTCCTCTTGTCGGCCCAGGAGTGGATTACACAAAGGTTTAAAGGGGGAATTATTAAGACACTAGCCAGATATATTATTGTGTGAATCTAATCGACATGATCGTGGCCTGGACCAAGTGATTGTAGTTGAATTGATCAATCGGATCCCATTATTTTTATGTTCACAGTGTGGGTGTATTGTAAGAAAGCTTTAATCAAATTATTAACTTTGTCTACACCAACTCAGCTCAGCGAAAACGGCACCTCAGCAAAACGTCACCGGGCGAAAACGGCACCGATTGGCCAAAACGGCACCTCGACTCAAGCGAAAACGGCTACTATTGCCTGGTGAAAACGGCACCTTATTTTTTTTTTTACCTTGGTCAAAACAGTGCTATTAAACTTATATGGTAACTTGCAAACACCAATATAATTGTGAGATGCTAAAACAAGTTTACATTAGCCTCTACTCCAACTATAATCCAACTTAGCTTATACACAACACAACTTATTGTGAAAACATGACATGCTTTGAAGAAAAATAATAGAAATTAAACTCACGTCGTCTTTACAAACACAAATAATTGTGAAATTGTGAAATAAAACAAGTAAGAAATTAGACCCCTACTCCAATTTACTCGCCGACTGATTGGGAGGCGCAGTTAACTTAATGTGAAAACACAATGCGCTTTGAAGTTTTAAGTACCTTTACTCAATTTAAACTGAAACTGTATTTAAGAGGCCTAACATGGTGCTGTCAGATCACAATTATCTACAATTGCCTTTCGATGTGTTGCATGAGAGAAGAATGTCAGAAAACAACAACATGCTGTGATAACTGTGACCATGAAAATAAACCATATATATTACCACAAAAATCGTTCTTATCATTATTAAAAATAGAGGTGCCGTTTTCGCCCACACATAGTAGCAGTTTTCGCCAAATGCGGTGCCGTTTTCGCCAGAGAAATCGGTGACGTTTTGCTGAGGTGCCGTTTTAGCCTGCACCCGTATATATATGTATATATAATTACCAGCTTGAAAGAGGATGTAAGTAAGTCTGTTCTCTTCTTTGGTTTTAGGAAAAGGAATGATTTCTTACATAACCATATGAATTTGTTTTGAATGCATGATGAGGTATATTTCATCCAACTTTTGTCTTTTTCAATCTAAGGTTGAAGCAATACATCAGAAGCGGACCATAGCTTTCATCAATCACTTCATAACACATACTGCCAGCTTTCTTAATCGATTCTCGGGAGTATGTGAACAAAAACTGGAACAACTTTCCAACCGGATCCAGCACCTGGAGATCTCCATGAGTCTGCTGGAGGCCAAGGTAATCCATTAATGAAGTACTCCCTACACCCTAGGTGTTGAAAAAACTATGAGATTTAAATATAAACTATCTTTCATTTGTCATGTTCATAGCATTTATTTGATAGACATGATGGAGGGATTTTAAGATTATCATAAGTAAAAATAATCTTTTAAATCTGTGATCATGGATACTCAAAGAAAATAATAACAGGTAAGTATGAATTCAAAATCATCATGATTATTCCAGATTAAGTTTAGTGGTTCCCTTTTCCAATAATAAATATTATTAAGTATTAACTTGTTGTCTCCAGTTTTAACTTTGGGGTTATGGTTAAAAAGAAGATAAACTTATGCCGAAGAGAAAATCATCATGCAACAACCTCTTGTCAGCTGTATGGCATGGTACATGGAATACTGTTATTCATTATAACATGACATCTCTACTGCTTAGCTGTGTTGGAATTTTGTGTTTATTCGATGATGTATATTTTACATGATACTTTGATCCATTGATGCTCAAGTGAAATATGTATTGTATGTTTTCATATACACATTGTAGTTAATCTCTCATCAGCATCAACTGTCACTCTTTTCTTATCCACTCTCCCTGCCCTTCTAACTATCTTTTCAGCATCAACATCTTTTTTTATTCTTCTCATTCCTTCTTTTTTTACTCTTTTATCATAATCATCCATATCAACCCTCTCATCGCTTCCTTCCCTCCTCACTTCTACATCCCTTTCTTCCCCACTTTCATGTTATCCTACTCCAGCAGCAGTTCCCTGCTTTTGTTTCTTTCTATTTCCATAATGTTTTTTAACTTATCCTGCATTACTCCGTATTGCATTTACTGCTGTCTTTTGAGAGTGAGACGAACTGTGTGAGAGGTCCAGCTGCTGAAGAAAAGTTGTTCCAACCAGTAGAAGCAGAACCCTCGCACAGTCGGCACGTGACCCAGAAGTCATGACGTCACATCAAAACACATAACTGCTTTGTCACCTCCAGGGACGGACGTACTTTGTATCCCTTGTGGAAATTAAAGCTAATTGTTTCTATATTTTGCGTGTTTCTACATTCATCGTCTGCTGCTACATTGTTACATGTTTATGGACTGTTACCTTTAGCATCTTCCAATTCGTAATTTGTAACGTTTCTCAATCGTTTGTGGCTCTAGTCACAGTAATTTACCGGCGTACTGTTGTTTCGGCCATTTTGTTTTTTCCCCGCCATTTTTGCCATTCATCACATGGCCAAGTAAATTTGTGTTCTGCATTTTGAATTCTTTCTTTGGCTTAGGTAATACACTAAGTTTATTTATTTTGTTATGGCATGCTTAAAGCTTTGCCTTCTCACTACCTTTTAGTGTAATTGTTTGCTCTCATAAACTTAAATAAAATACATTATGCTTACTGTACTTTGTGGTTTTGCCAATGTTGCAGTCCTTCGTCGCTGTGCTCCATCAACTCAATACGAGTATCCAGGACACGCCTCACTCAGTGTGCTCGTTGACACCCTGAAATGGCTTACAACTCAGAGACTGCGGTCTTTCTACACCTCCTTTGCAGTCACATTTATCGACAACGGTAATGGGACCAGCTTTCCATCTCCTCCGCCATCTATGTCGACAGCAGCGGTACCGTCGGCGCTCCCGAGAAGCAAAGCCACCGGCGCCTCTCGGTGCCTGAGTATCTCAACCAAGCTTCTCAGGAACCTCCGCCGCCTGAGTATCTCAGCCAAGCTTCCTGGCGCTCACGGTGCCTTCGGTGCCTGAGTATCTCAGCCAAGGTTCCCGGCGCATGGTGCCTACGGTGCCTGAGTATCTCAACCAAGGTTCCCGGCGCTCACGGTGCCTACGGTGCCTGATTATCTCAGCCAAGGTTCCCGGCGCTCACGGTGCCTACGGAGCCTGAGTATCTCAGCCAAGGTTCCCAGCGCTCACGGTGCCTACGGTGCCTGAGTATCTCAGCCAAGCTTCCCGGTGCTCACGGTGCCTACAGTGCCTGAGTATCTCAACCAAGCTTCCCAGCTCCTCCGGCACCTGAATATCTCAGCCAAGCCTTCCAGCGTTATCGGTGCCTCCAACACTCCTGGCGCCCTTGGCGCCTGAGTATCTCAGCAGAGTATCTCCTGAGTATCTCAGCTGATCTTCTACTCTACTTCGGCACAAGGGGCGCCATTGGCAATTGCCTTATCGGCGCCACTGGCATCTCCTTCTATTACTGACTCTCATAGATCGTCATAATTGCAAGGTGAAACCACGTCTTTCAATTGTTGCTTCTCTCCTGTACGTCGCCAGCATCGTGATTATCATTCAACTTCCTGGGAGAAATCTTTTTAACCAGTAGACATTTGGTCTGATTCAACCTTCACTGGTTGTCTGGGCGAGGTTTTGTTTTGCAACGTTCTCCTTAACCCCCTCGTTTAAGGGCCATGCTTTAGGAGAGATGACCTGCAGGGTCACTCCTTGGATGAGGCTGAAGGTGCTCACATGTTCATTGGAAGCCGTTTCTTCAAAGCCAACTTACATTTCACCAGTGCCGGATCCGGCCGCTGTGGCCTTCAGTGTTCCCTGGGTAGCATTACGCGCGTATGCTTTTCCACCTCCGGTTCTCCTTCCCAGGGTTCTTCAAAGATACAGATACAAAGATACAGGCCACTCGGCACCTGACACTGATTTTTGTCGTGCCTTGGTTGTCCAGAAGTTGGTTTGTTGACCCCCGAAACATCGCCAGAGACAACCCCCTGGAACTTTCGGTGTGGTCCAACCTTCTGCTTCACCCACACAGTTGGTTGCTACACCCAAAAACCCGCACGGTTTCGTCTGCACGCCCGGCACATCTGCTGAAAGCCCTATGAGCCAAGGGCTATTCGGCTAGAATTCCCCCTGTCATCCATTGTGGGTGCCAACGATGAGGGGGAGCTTTTATTATGCCCAGTTTGGGCACAGAAGGTTTCCTACTACGATCTAAAGCCTGCCGCAAGTCTAGGAAACGCCTTTTTCTGTCGGTCCCCCTTTGTTGCAGTCGGAATACTATTTCCCTGTGGCTCAGGGCGGTCATCCTCCAAGCTTATAAAGCTGCCGGATTGGACCCTCCCCCAAGGCTAACAACCCACACGAGATCAGGGCGACTGCATTTACCATGGCTCTTCATAGTAACTGCTCCATCCAGTTGATCATGGAAGGCTGATCTTGGCGATCTGACACCGTCTTCACCAGCCACTACCTCCGTGTTGTAGCCTTGGAAGATGTCGCCGGCGTTCACAGTCTTGGTTCCCGGGTTGTAGCCCAACAGGTCACCAGTCACCGACGCCACTGATTCTGCAATACCCTGAGCAGGGCCCATCGACCTCTGTGATGTTAATCACCCCAGAATAGAGGGCTCTACTGTGTTCCGCATTCGCTCTTAGATCAGTACTAGTTTTTGGCTACCAGCTTCATTCTATTTCTGTCACCCGTTCAGGTTTTACTTTTTGCATCAACTCTTGTTTCCTGAAGACAGGAATGGTCATAGATGTTCCGGTCATCACTTGTATGCGATGCGGATTCATCAGACCTTGACGAGGGTTTATTATGGACCAAATCTGAAAATATGCCCAATAGCCGTGCAGTCTGATGAAGATGCAAACTGGAGTAATGCAGGATAAGTTAAAACATTTAGTAAAATGTAAATATTTTATACATTTGTCTACTTATCCTACATTACGAAGTCTAAGTGCCCTCCCTTCGCTATGCTGCCTCCCATGAAGTTTCAGATGTTATGTTTAAAGCAGTTATGTGTTTTGACGCCTTGACTTCCGGGTCTCGTGCTGACTGTGCGAGGGTGTTGCCTCTACTGGTTGGAACAAATTTTCTTCTGCAGCTGGATCTCACACAGTTTGTTACTCTGTCAAAAGGCAGCAGTAAATGCAATACGGGGTAATGCAGGATAAGTATACAAATGTAAAAATATTTAGATTTTACTAATTTGAAGAATTTGATCCTTGCCATGCCCTTCTCCCGACTCTTTATGTTCTTCATCATCTTGGGAAAAAAGCAACATTCTATTATGTTGTTTGTCTCCCAGAACTTTCTATACTGTTGCCAAAATGTTCTATCGTGTTTCCTATTCAAACCATATATTCAATTTTAACTGTTTAGTTACATGTCAAACATGGCCTATCAATTATAACTACAATTTTGATCAGTGGAATACAGTCAATGTATAAAATACACCTGTAATATTATCTGATAGACAAAGGATTTCCATCCTGTTGCCAAACTGCATCCCTGCTGTTCCTAGTTGACATTAAGTAGTTGGTACAACTGTGATATGTTCAGCTTTCACAACATTGCAACGTACAATTTCACTTGAGAATTTTACTAACATGCATTGTATTAAACTACTACTAACCAATGATGAATCTGTCAACATAACTTAAATAATTTTAAATCTATGATAGTTGTAATTGATTTCTATCCTGTTACCTTTTTCCCTTCCTGTTATCTTCACAAGAAATTGCTCCAGGTTTTCCAGTTTATTTTGACTTTAAAGCAAAACCAAATTACACTCTCAAACTATGAGCTAAAATATGTAGTCAGTCTTATGCCTGGGTAAGGTTTGAATTCTGTTACTTTCTTGCAAATTCTTCAAGAAATCTCCCTCCTGTTACTGTAACCTTAGCCATGGAAACAGGAGGGAAATTAACAGTAAAGGAAATGTGTTACAAAAATGCTTTATGACAAATGGATGGTCCCTATGCAACTCAAAATGGAGGGAAATTGAAGAGACATTAAAACTCTAGTTATGTGAACATTTCTAAAAACATATTTTGTTAATTACACAGCAATAGGAGGGTAACAGTAGAGAACTCTGAGAAAAGGACTCCTTACCTGTGATACCGCCGACTGCATAAAAAATGGGACGTTTAGTCTCCCCAGAAATATTCTTGTTTAAAGGACGTCATTTTCAGATCCAGCATTGAACATATTAAAGATAAACGGTTATTTTCCTAAAAAAATATATTAATAAAGCAATCCTTGGAAGAAGAAATGGCTGGACAGTAGACAGATTGACAGACAGACAGACACATAGACCTCACAATAATTGTCCAGATGTTAAGTATGCAATAATTTGCAATTTGAAAAGTTACAATTCTGTAAAATAATGGCTAGAATACTGTTATGAGAGCTTCAGGAGATATATCAGTTTTACAACATTGTAGCAGAGTATTCATTCTGTCAATGTTTTCCTAAGCCAGTCATATTTGCATGTATATGTTCCACATGTATGGGTCACTTGGTTGCACATGCATGTTACTATAAACAGGTTAAACCCCGTCGGGAATAGTGTCTTGTATATATGTACCCTTGGTACCCTATGTTGTACGATGGGGCAGGTGGCCCAGTCGTCTACAGAGCCGCAGTTTGCTGTGCAGAGTGGTGTCACTTGTTGCCAGGAGGTTATGATCATGGGTCCAAGTTCCATATTTGCCCTGATTATTATCACAGGTTTTACCAAATTGGTAAATGTCCGAGACAGAATGTATATTCTACCTTAATCAACATGACTGACACCCCATGGTTTTAACAAAGGCAGAGGCTGTTATTGGTATTCCATCTTGAAGTGGGAGCAGATACTTGGACAATGTTTCAACTTGTCTGGCAACTGTAGACAGGGGAATAGGGTACGGGACTCTCATTACTTGGAGATAGAGGGTATCACGCGAGTGTGTTTGGGGATGGTAAATATCCTGCATTAGGAATAAACATTGTATTTAGCGAGCCTTGGTGAGCTAAATACATAGTGTTTATTCCTAATACAACATGTACAGGATATTTACCATCCCCAAACACACAAGTGTGATAACCTCTTTATCATATAATGTCATTATTTAATTCTGTGCTTGAAAATCGCTTTCCCTCTCTCACAAACATTACCTAAACATTGCGAGTTTTTGTGGAATGCGCGCATTAATATTTATTACGTCACAGGGTAAGTTATGTGTCAGTCGGACAGTGACAGAAGCCAATATAGTTCCAACTGAAATCTGTATCTTATACAGTGGCGAAGCAACATATATGCAAAACAACAATTGTTTTTACTTGCATTTCACGGCAATCCATCGGTCTGTCCGCTAGAGTAACTGCCCTTTGTCAAAGGGAAGCTACTCTAACCCAAGTCTATGAGACGTCACGACCACGTTCAGACGTTGTTGACAGTCTTCCTGTCCTGTCATAACATTAAGAAGTGTAGTCAGATGTACACACAGCGACAAAACGAAACAAGGTAACAATTCAAACAAATTCGGCCAAATCCAACTATTTTAATTTGTGGAAAAAGTTTCAAGCTGCAGAGGTCGACAAGCACAGATATGGCTACTGATCCCGCTTGGCTAGGACTAGTGCCCTCGTAAAATTGTTTCGAAATTTATATCTCCAAAGTTGCCAAAGTTTATAAAATGCCTTAGCAACGTCAGATTTAGACACTGATTTTCAGGATATTAGACTGTTCTTTTGATAATGATAGCAATTATCCCTGTAGTTTATCCAGTTCCCGACGGTTAATTCTTACTCGATTGCTGATTGATGCGACGCCATGTTTGTTTATAAACACTGAAAGTAGTCCCTACTTGACCTTTGATATTTGCATCTCTATCCGCATATGACCCCAATGGATATCGTTTTTATCCGTTGGCTTTATCCTGCCGAGAAACCTACTCATTATATGATAATACAATACACGAATGGGAAGAAGAAAGACATTTTATTATTGTGTCACACATTGTACTTAATACAAGTATGATATTTATTTTATCAAAATATCAAATATCAGGTTTTCAGGGCCTAAGAGACACATGGCACAGCTTATGTAAAAAACATGGATTAGAGTGAGGAGGAGAAGCTTGGATACTCGGGTCCGTTGGGTCCTGAGTAGGACCTAGGTACCCTAGGGGTTTACTGGGCCTATCATTTAGAATATGGTCAGGTCACACATGTATGCTAGTATGTGTTCTGCAGCTGTCTTCAGTGCCAGGCCTGGAGAACGTGACTGTAGCAGCCAGCAGCAGTACCACGACTACAGTTACCGACTCCTCTGCTACACCCACAACAACAACAGCTGCACCTGCCTCATCTGCCACAGCAGCACCTGCCCCATCAACGGCTGTGAGTACTGTGTAGACATCACATCAGCAAGTAACTCTAAATCACTTCCAGTAAATTGATTGGCTGCCCAGGGAAGCATCTATGTGTTCACAGCTCTTGTCACTTTGTTATCTCATGGATTTTCTCCATCACACATGACAGGAAACCTAAACACAACATGGAGGAAATAAGATTTTTTTGCATAGTGTTTTTTTGTGGTTGAGCTTTAACAGTCACATAGGCTCTGCTTTTGTATTCATGGCAAATTTGAAAATCTCAGATTCTTGCTGTTTATTTTATAGTTCTATATTGATGAACAGATAAATAATAACAGTAATCCCTTTTGCTGACTACAATATGCCCCACTCAGACTGTATTCCTGTTCCCCCTTCAGCCTGGTGATCCTGGGGCAGCAGCAGCAGCAGCACCGGAGGAAGCTAAGCCAACAATGACAGTAGCCCAACATCCTAGTTACACCAGGTTCTTTAAGATGGTTCAAGTGGTAAGTGAAGGCTTTCAGAGAGTTTGTGCTTACATCTATACTTGGCAATACTTTGTCATCTTTGTCCATTGCTTACTGAAATAAAAAGGCAATTTGAGGAGACAAGATTGGATGTCGTCCATAGACTTATACATTTTTTACTCCTGAACTGCTGCGTTTCTTGAACAGGTGTTTCTGACTATAAAGGGGTTCAGCTGTGATCTCTTTTGTAAATTTAGTAATGCTGCGAGACAGCCATCTTATATTTTGTCAGCTTAGCTTATCCTCAAAAGGATGGCCCACCTCATAACCTCTCCACTGGAAGTACAGAATGCCTTTTTGACGTGTACCATCGCTCACAATAGTAACTGAAACTGACATAAAATATTCGACTCAGGCACAGTGGAGGGCAGTATTGTCAGACTCAGGCACAGTGGAGGGCGGTATTGTCAGACTCAGGCACAGTGGAGGGCAGTATTGTCAGACTCAGGCACAGTGGGGGGGGGCAGTATTGTCAGACTCAGGCACAGTGGAGGGCAGTATTGTCAGACTCAGGCACAGTGGAGGGCAGTATTGTCAGACTCAGGCACAGTGGAGGGCAGTATTGTCAGACTCAGGCACATTGGAGGGCAGTATTGTCAGACTCAGGCACAGTGGAGGGCAGTATTGTCAGACTCAGGCACAGTGGGGGGAGGGGGCAGTATTGTCAGACTCAGGCACAGTGGAGGGCAGTATTGTCAGACTCAGGCACAGTGGAGGGCAGTATTGTCAGACTCAGGCACATTGGAGGGCAGTATTGTCAGACTAAGGCACAGTGGAGGGCAGTATTGTCAGACTCAGGCACATTGGAGGGCAGTATTGTCAGACTCAGGCACAGTGGAGGGCAGTATTGTCAGACTCAGGCACAGTGGGGGGGGGGGCAGTATTGTCAGACTCAGGCACAGTGGAGGGCAGTATTGTCAGACTCAGGCACAGTGGAGGGCAGTATTGTCAGACTCAGGCACATTGGAGGGCAGTATTGTCAGACTAAGGCACAGTGGAGGGCAGTATTGTCAGACTCAGGCACAGTGGGGGGCAGTATTGTCACACTCAGACAGAGTGGGGGGGGGGGGGGGGGGGGGGGGACAGTATTGTCAGACTCAGGCACAGTGGAGGGCAGTATTGTCAGACTCAGGCACAGTGGAGGGCAGTATTGTCAGACTCAGGCACAGTGGAGGGCAGTATTGTAAGACTCAGACACAGTGGGGGGGGGGGGGGGCAGTATTATCAGACTCAGACACAGTGGGGGGGGGCAGTATTGTCAGACTCAGGCACAGTGGGGGGGGGGGGGGGGGGAGTATTGTCAGACTCAGACACAGTGGGGGGGCAGTATTCTCAGACACAGTGGGGGGGGGGCAGTATTGTCAGACTCAGACACAGTGGAGGGCAGCATTGTCAGACTCAGGCACAGTGGAGGGCAGTATTGTCAGACTCAGGCACAGTGGAGGGCAGTATTGTCAGACTCGGGCACAGTGGGGGGCAGTATTGTCAGACTCAGGCACAGTGGAGGGCAGTATTGTCAGACTCGGGCACAGTGGGGGGCAGTATTGTCAGACTCAGGCACAGTGGAGGGCAGTATTGTCAGACTCAGGCACAGTGGAGGGCAGTATTGTCAGACTCAGACACAGTGGAGGGCAGTATTGTCAGACTCAGGCACAGTGGGGGGCAGTATTGTCAGACTCAGACACAGTGGAGGGCAGTATTGTCAGACTCGGGCACAGTGGAGGGCAGTATTGTCAGACTCAGGCACAGTGGAGGGCAGTATTGTCAGACTCAGGCACAGTGGGGGCAGTATTGTCAGACTCAGACACAGTGGAGGGCAGTATTGTCAGACTCAGGCACAGTGGGGGGCAGTATTGTCAGACTCGGGCACAGTGGGGGGCAGTATTGTCAGACTCGGGCACAGTGGGGGGCAGTATTGTCAGACTCAGACACAGTGGAGGGCAGTATTGTCATGCTGCGAGACAGCCATCTTATATTTTGTCAAAGAAAGCTTATCCTCAAAAGGATGGCCCACCTCATAACCTCTCCACTGGAAGTACAGAATGCCTTTTTGACGTGTACCATCGCTCACAATAGTAACTGAAACTGACATAAAATATTCGACTCAGGCACAGTGGAGGGCAGTATTGTCAGACTCAGGCACATTGGAGGGCAGTATTGTCAGACTCAGGCACAGTGGAGGGCAGTATTGTCAGATTCAGACACAGTGGAGGGCAGTATTGTCAGACTCAGGCACAGTGGGGGGCAGTATTGTCAGACTCAGACACAGTGGAGGGCAGTATTGTCAGACTCGGGCACAGTGGGGGGCAGTATTGTCAGACTCAGGCACAGTGGAGGGCAGTATTGTCAGACTCGGGCACAGTTCTCACACTCTCTCTCTCTCTCTGTTGTCTGCTGTTCTCTCTCTCTCTCACACTGTTTGCTGTTCACACACTCTCTCTCACCCTGTTGTCTGCTGTTCTCACTCTCTCTCTCTCTCTCTGTTGTCTTCTGTTCTCTCTCTCCTCTCTCTCTCTGTTGTCTGCTGTTCTCTCTCTCTCTCTCTCTCTGTTGTCTGCTGATCTCACACTCTCTCTCACCCTGTTGTCTGCTGTTCTCTCGCTCTCTCTCTCTCTCTCTCTGTTGTCTGCTGATCTCACACTCTCTCTCTGTTGTCTGCTGTTCTCTCTCTCTCTCTCTCTCTGTTGTCTGCTGATCTCACTCTCTCTCACCGTTGTCTGCTGTTCTCTCTCTCTCTCTCTCTCTCTCTCTCTCTGTTGTCTGCTGTTCTCTCTCTCTCTCTCTCTCTCTCTCTCTGTTGTCTGCTGTTCTCTCTCTCTCTCTCTCTCTCTGTTGTCTGCTGATCTCACACTCTCTCTCCCTGTTGTCCGCTGTTCTCTCTCTCTCTCTCTCTCTCTCTCTGTTGTCTGCTGTTCTCTCTCTCTCTCTCTCTCTGTTGTCTGCTGATCTCACACTCTCTCTCACCCTGTTGTCTGCTGTTCTCACTCTCTCTCTCTCTCTCTGTTGTCTGCTGTTCTCTCTCTCTCTCACACTGTTGTCTGCTGTTCACACACTCTCTCTCTCCCTGTTGTCCGCTGTTCTCTCTCTCTCTCTCTCTCTCTCTCTCTCGTCTGCTGTTCTCTCTCTCTCTCTCTCTCTCTCTGTTGTCTGCTGATCTCACTCTCTCTCACCCTGTTGTCTGCTGTACTCACTCTCTCTCTCTCTCTCTCTGTTGTCTGCTGTTCTCTCTCTCTCTCACACTGTTGTCTGCTGTTCACACACTCTCTCTCACCCTGTTGTCTGCTGTTCTCACTCTCTCTCTCTCTGTTGTCTTCTGTTCTCTCTCTCTCTCTCTCTGTTGTCTGCTGTTCACACACTCTCTCTCACCCTGTTGTCTGCTGTTCTTACTCTCTCTCTCTCTGTTGTCTTCTGTTCTCTCTCTCTCTCTCTCTGTTGTCTACTGTTCTCTCTCTCTCTGTCCCTGTTGTCTGCTGTTCTCTCTCTCTCTCTGTTGTCTGCTGATCTCACACTCTCTCACCCTGTTGTCTGCTGTTCTCACTCTCTCTCTCTCTCTCTCTCTCTCTCTCTCTCTCTCTCTCTCTCTCTCTCTGTTGTCTTCTGTTCTCACTCTCCCTTTCCTGCTTCAGGGGGTGCCAGCTATGGCTGTCAAGAACAAGATGATTGCTGAAGGACTGAACCCAGATTTACTGGAGTAAGTATCTCACACCAACATCAGAATTGTGTATCAAAAGGTGATATGAGTAGTTTGGCAGTTCTGCAACATTTAACTCTATTGGGCCAAAATATTGAATGTACCAGTATTTTGAAGTGCTACCGGTCCTGGGTACCAGTAAATTTGTAACTGAATGGAAATACTGAACATGTGAAGATCCACTCCTTTTTACCCTGCTTGCTTCTGTATTACCATAGCAACCCTGATGCCCCGGCGCCTGACGGTGGAGGAAGCTCATCTGGGGGCGGTGGTGGCGGCGGCAACAAGAGTGACAGTGATGACTTCAGTGATGATAATGATGATGGTGATGATGATGAAGATGATGGTGATGGAGGTGGTGACAGTGATGATGAAGACTGGTGATACTGTGCAATAACTCATTCCACAAATTCCTTCTCATGTAGTGAAGATCATGTTGTATTGATTCCTGAATTTCCTGATATATCATTGCTAATACTATGTAGAGTTGATAAGCTGGTTAAGCTTGACGTCATGGCAAAAAGATTTGGTTGTTTAATATTAGTGCAGAAAATTCTCAGTATACAGTGTAGATCAGCACATAAGATACAAAGTGATCATCTTCCTGAATCAAGGCAGTTAACTGGCCATAAAGTCCAGTTTCCACCCTTGCTGAACATGGGCGGTATTTCGTGACTCAATTGTTTGTCACCAGGTGCTTTTGTGAGTTATGTCCCTTCTATGTCCTTACTATTGACCAATCAGATTCACCATGTTGTTTTCGAAACGGTTTTGATTTTGTAACGCCATTTTTGATTGTGCTATGCATAGGCTTATAAGGACAGCCAAAATATAAAAAAGAAACTCCAGCCTAGTTTGGCAAGGGTGGAAACTGGACTAGTCAGTTGACACCCTTGCCTCGGGAAGATGCACAGTGCTCTGACCAGCACAAGTTCAAAGTGTCACTTATGAGTTCATGTTAGTATTTTTATCAGTTGTTGTTATGCTATTAAACCTCAGACCAAAGACATTGCCCATGTGATAGCTGTGACGTCAGCTGGACAAACATGTCTCTCATAGACAGGGTTCCATCACTGACAACTATCAAGGGTATGAAGAGGAAGATTAGTTTGTTGTGAAAATCTGGATAATCAGATACATCTGGATAAATCCAAACAAGTAGAATTTTTCAGTATACCAACCCATGTAGATAATACCTCCACACCCTCATACAAAAAACACCAGCATGAGATCCTGTTAAAAAAATCAGGATTCCATGTCTAGAAAGGTCATATTTCCCTTGTACCAGAAAGACTCAAACAACATGCCTGAGTTGGAGTCCTTCTCCCCGCTCAGGTCAACTGTGGTGTTCTTTGATTATCTATGATCATATCATTTTTAAAAGGAAGGCGCAGTGGTCACATTTTAAATTCTTGACTGAGTCGGGGCGTACCGAGCAAATTTACAAGACCATCAAACAAGGATGTCATGAGTACTGTTTCTTGTTTGTTATTTTCATGATACCTCCATACTTCTCTGAAATAATCAGTGTTGAGTAAGAGCTTCAAGATCAAATTTGTATGTGTTTTCCATGGTCTTTGTGTATTTCAGGTTTATATAGTAACAGATATATTTTGTGTAAACATCGTTTTCTCACTTAAAGTAAACCCACCATCAAGGATAATCCAGAGGTGTCAATTGGATTTCCCTCCCAACTCGGCACTGTGACTTCTGAGTGGGTGTCACAAGTGTGTCCTTTCAACTTTGGGGACCCCTGTATTCTTGTTATATTAACAACAGAAAAATGTTGCCTGCTTCTGAAGTGTCCTGATCATACAATATCATGTTTGTGAGGTTAGCATGTTCAGCTGTATTGAAGCCTGCAACACTGTCAGTGCACACAGTGTCTGCACAGATGCCGACTAAGTGACAATGTATACATAATTGTACATTCCATATTTTCAGATTGATTGTAATGTTATGTCAATATTATTTAACCAGAGTGTGACAGCAGATTCATGTCTGTAGTCAGTGAATGAGAAGCAATTATGTTTGGTATCTCTGTTTTTTTATGTCACATGGAGTAGAACCTGGTTGGCCTGGAAACCCAACTATCCAGATGTGTTATCAATGTCTGCACATACAAGGGACATTACTCCACGAGCCATAACTACACACACTCCAATCACCCGTCTCACATCATGTTGTTTTCCCCAAGTACCTACAAAGAAATTTGCTCTGTGTCTTCCATTCTTCCTTTCCTAAATGGAATATATACGTAGTCCTACCAAGCATTCATGCTTCATATGAATCACATCCATCAACAATTAGTGTTCACAGATGCATTGAACAGCTTGTTTAAAAAATTAATATTAAAATGCTTCCTGCAAAACATTTTTTGAAAATTTGGTTGGTTGCATACACCAACAAAGTCAGTGAGCCTGACCACCCAATCCCATTAGTTCCCTCTTACAACAAGCATAGTCAACTTTCACGGCAAGCATGGGTTTCTGAAGACCTATTCTACCCCAGATTGAAAATTTGGGATAAAATATAAAATGGGATGATTTCACTGATTTCACTGAGAATAGTACTGTCCATATCAACAGGATTTCACTTGACCCTGCAGACCTGGAGAAGTGTGTTTTGTGTGCGTGTGCACTGGCTGCAAGTGTGTTATTAACGGAAGTCCGTTTTCCCTGGCACACCCTGTTCTGTGATGGCCATGCAAGGAGTTGAAGGATGTCAGCCAGCTGTTGTACCTCCCTGTCAGGGAACAAGTTTACTGTTGTTATTTGTTATCATGGTTATCGTGAATTGATAATTGCCAATGTTTGTGTGAAGCTGGCATAATCAGGATAATATATACATGTGTATAAATACCACCTCTGTTATTTATTTATATATATTGGATATAGATGTGTTTAAATAACTAGCTTGTGAACACATAACAAGCTGAGATGTTTACGTGACAGTATTTTCAAGTTTCATGATGTGGAAATAACTGGTCATAGTAACAGTGCATCGACTGTGTATGCAGTACCAGAACCACAACACAAGCTTGTATTCAAAATTAAGGTGATCCTCTAGCTTTGTGCCAGAAGTGTTTCAATCTAGGGACCAGACTTTTAACATTAGAGTTATGACGAAGATCCCTTGACTTTGATGCTTAAGTTCAAACACAGCAAATATATGTATAGGAGAATGCTTTGTGGTGTGAACATGAAGTTACATTGCAAGACTAGTGGTATGTTTATGATGACCTTGGAGCGTTGTTCAGTTGAGTTGCAGTGTCAAACACAGGATTTTCTTCATTAATTGACAAGCTTGTACCCATGATCATAACCATAACAGTAAGTTGTTGTGTAGTCTTGAAAGCAGCCATATTGAAACATAACCTGTTTTCATCGCTTCATCACGATGTCACAGGGCATATAGCTGCAGTTGCAGAAACGCCATGTAATGCCATTGTAATATTGTATTATATTAGACATCAAATTCTATTTCTTGGGATTCTTTTGTGGGTGAGGGAGAGAATGCAGGGTGAAGAGAGTAATTAGGTTCGGCTGAAACGTAATTACATAAAGAATGAAAAGAGGAACCAGAAGTGCTGATTACAATAGTGAAACGATATCAAACACCCCCCTCTGTATCTGTGTAGAAGCACTTATCTGGTGTTGACATTTTAACAGAAACAACTTAATCAAACATGGCATATTTTTTTTCATTTGATTTTTGGAAGATGATAATATTTTTATGTTTACCAAATCTTTGTTGACCTTAGATATTTTCATAACAACCCTGTAAAACATTCCATGATGTCATGAAAGAATAGCTTCTACTTTGATAAGAGGGTTAAATGTAGACAGATTGGTTTGTGTCCAAAAGTGCTATCGGAACCGGCAAAGTCTGGTACCATGACAACTAGTTTTCTCAACTGACTAATCTTTTAATGTCTTCGATGCACGTCTAATAATGTTTGAGAAAATTAAATATTATTTCAGAGAAATTGTCATTCATTTATGTTCAATGTACTTGAAAGGATACTAATTTGTTTTTTTAATGTCTTGGCACTGACACATTACTGAATGGGGATTTTGTTTTGTTTGTTTGCTTGCTGTTTAACGCCCCACCCAGCAATATTCCAGCTATATTACGGCGGTCTGTAAATAATTGAATCTGGACCAGACAATCCAGTGATTGACATCATGAGCATCGATCCACGCAATTGGGATACGATGGCATTCATCAATGAAGTCAGCGAGCCTGACCACCCAATCCCGTTAGTCGCCTGTTACAACAAGCATAGTCGCCTTTCACAGTAAGCATGGGTTGCTGAAGACCTATTCTACCCTGGATCTTCGAAATTTGCATCTTTAAGTTTAATTTGACGTGTTTACAATGATATATGGAGAAGGTAGCACTCTCAAAGGCATGCATGTACCTGCTGCAAGGACAATGTTGGGATGTGGGAGAACAGACACAGGTGACTCAAGATCACTGTGTTTTGAAAGCATGGTGAAATGTTGGACCATTCCATGTGATCACAGGAGAGTGGGTTAAGACTGGATCTGTTTATTCCCTACAATAGCAACAACAGTTTCAAGAGTTGAATGGCCATAGACTTTAGGGTTTATTTCTGTGAAATTATCATTTTAAGTAGGACATTCATCTTGACCATAACCATTCTTAAATATCAAGACAAAATGTCAAAGGACTTAAAAATACATGTACGAATCTGAAACTATAACATATATTATTGTATCTTATGTTTACTGCACAAATTGGAATGAGACCTAACTGGTTCACTCACACTTATGTTTAATACTGTACAGCACCACACAGCACTGATATCATGTGCATGCTTTGATATCTGTAAGAGATTTTTGGTCGAGTAGTTGAGGATGGGAGAATTCAAGAATGAACCTGAGTCTAAAAGCAGTGATGAGCGTATAAGTATCATGTGATAAAAGGGTCGATTTGTCAAATACAAAATGTTTGAAATATGTTCTGTAAGGTCATATTAATGATGGATTATGAATGATGAATAAAGATGTGCTATCGATGTACATTTGAAGCATACATCCATGTTTGTCTTCTTTATGGAATGAAGTACTCCCTGCGACCTCAAGCTACAATAAAGGCAAACCTGTTCAGGTCACCTGACTGAAAGTGAGCTCATAAAGTGGCCTAGTTGTCTGGCGGCAACTGCATCATGGGTACAGATCATCCAACAAACCAATGCAGCTAAAACTTCACATGCTTGTTCCGACCAGTTGAAGCCCATTTCTGGTGTCCCCCGCCGTGATATTGCTGGAATATTGCTAAAAGCGGCGTAAAACGTCACTCACTCACTCACTCACTCACTGTTCCGACCAGTGATAACACCTGAATCTGTTCAAGGGGTGCCAAACCAATTCAAGCTATATTGAAAAATCTATTTATGGCCATTCCTCAGCAACTTTCATTCTAAATGTATAGAAATGTAATGTGTATTTTCGGGTGGGATTCTACATATACAGATGATATATATTTTAAAATGTCGACATTTGCACTTTGACCATACTGTTGTTGTTTAATGCCGCACTCAGCAATATTCAAGCTATATGACGGCAGTCTGTAAATAATCAAGTCTGGACCAGACAATCCAGTGATTGACATCATGAGCATCGATCCATGCAATTGGGATACAATGACATGCATCAACCAAGTCAGCGAGCCTGACCACCCGATCCCCTTAGTCGCCTTTTACGACAAGGATAGTCGCCTTTTACGGCAAGCATGGGTTGCGAAGACCTATTCTACCCCGGATCTTCACAGGTTTTGACCATACTGCAAACTGGACATCTTATGGCCATTAGCCATTACTTTGTTTAGATGTAATGACATTGGGTATAAGTGTAGTTAGTAGTGGTTATCATTACATTCCACTGTAAACATCATCTCCTCAGAAACCACTGGACCAATGAAGCTGAGGCATCAATACTTGTTCCAACCTATGAGGACACCTCACTTTGTTCAAGGGCTTCAAATCCTCCACAGCACCAACATTGAAAAGTCTGTTTGTGCCTCAAACTAACAGTTTCATAGTAGTTTACAGAGAGAAATAGACATTTTAAGAGCAGTATATTACACATTGAGCTGTGGCATAAAGAGGTTTTTCAATACAGCTGCTTAAGAACAAATTTAGGTGTCACAAGTGGTGGGAACAAGAATGTGAAGTTTCAGCTTCATCTGTCGAGGGGTTTATGAGGAGAGTATATAAACATGTTCTATGATATTGCCAGACTGAGAGAGTTGAACTTTGTCATGTGTCTCTTTATGATGAAATCGCGTTTTGTTCATGTCATTGGGATTTTAGACGTTTTTTTAACAATTGGAAAAATTGTATGGCGTTAGAAATAGATATTCTCCTTAATGTATGGGTCATCTTCCCAGTCAAGGGAGTTAACTGACTATAAAAGTCCAGTTTCCACATTGTTACAGTCACTTAACTCCCTTGCCTCGGCAAGATGTGTAAGTATCAGAGTTGAAACTTCGTGTACAGTAAATGTAACTGTTGTGTATTGGATTAATATACATTCTTGCAGATCCAAGTGGTGAACGTTTCTCTCTATTTGCCTTCCTCCAACCGCGTCATACAAACGACATTAAAAAGATGGTACTCGTTACACTTCCTGGCGCTCGGCATTAAGGGGCTAAAACAAGGACTAGTCGGCTCGGAGTCAGTATACTGCGTCTGATTTGCGTATTCATGTGAAACTGCCCAATGGTATCTCAGTGGGCTGGCACTGTAAACTCGGCATCATTCCGGACTAGAGCAAGCAACCATACACATGCAAGTGCATGTCGTCGCTGTATGAGTGTAATGACGCGACCGGACGTTAAACCCCTTTTCACATCCCTCTTAGAATTTCAAGGCTGACATTGTGTCTACTCCTCCATTACCTCACTTTCAGTCTCATAGTATTACGTAGCCCTCCATCTGTGTGGTGTGTTACGTATGTTAAAAGGGACAAGCCAACGTTTGTGGAGTATGTTTGCTGAAAGGGGATGTTAATGGGTTTTTTGTCTAGCTAACAACCTCACACCTGTCGTGTCCACAGAAGTTGTTTCAAGTTTATCTCTTGCAATTTGTCACTATGTCGCGATAGGCGTGTGTCTCCAACGACAAAGCATGGACCAATATCACAACGAGAAGACTTGAACACAAATCAAATTATGTTATCGAAGATATCAACACGGAAGCTGAACACACCACATGACAACATTATGACGGACGCCATACGCCAGCCATTCCGCCCCGTACACAAGTTACCCCTGTTGTGGCTTTTTGTTAACGTCTGCATATTTCAGTCCTTATTCTGTGCTTGCATTGCACTCTTTGTTCTAATATTGAACACTGGACGCGCCCACATAGTCTGCCACAGAATACGATGTCCTGTGATTGACAACACGTGTTCTATTGCTGAACGCCTGTGATCTGTTTTAGAACCCGTGTGTTCTCTCATGGCGAGAGGTCCATGCAAAGTAGCAAAGATCATGACTGTGCTGAATATTGATAGATAACTTTAACCTGGACTATATATTTGTGCTCTCTATGTATCTATTTTAGAATAAGAGCTGCTGATTGATTTTTAAGTCAAACAAAATGCGTAGAAGAGGAATGATATTTTGATGAATATTGTATAATATTTTATGAACCCAAAATTGTTTAATAATAACTCATGTAGCCCGACTAAATCTAACAAGCAGACGACAATACTTCGCCATTTTAACCGTCATTTCTATCACACAAATGCGTAATTCGCAAATTCTAATACATATGTAGTTGCTATCATCACAAATCTCTGTTTGTACTTGTGACCATTTGAATATTCAATGT